ATCTAACACCACTAGATTTTTGTTTATGGGGTTGGTTTAAAACATAAGTTTACAAAGTTAAAGTGAATAATCGAGAGGCACTAATTCAACGAATAATTAATACTGGCGCAGTTCTTAAAGAAAAACAAGAGTTAATAGGACAAGCAACAGGCGCAGTTCGCAGACGTAGCAGAGCATGTTTAGAACTCAATGGGGGTATTTTTGAACACCTTATAAAAAGTCATAACTATTAAACAAATGTTACCGTTTCATTTTATTTATTTTTTAATTACGCTATAACTTAAAAACAAATGAGAATCGAATAAGAACATTTGAGTTTTTTTAAATTATTTTAATGTGTAGAATGCAGTCCTAGAGTTCGGTGCGATCCTTTCGATTCACCCTGTATATCATATATGACATTTTACTATACATCATATATGACTACCTCTCACATATCTACTATCATTCACAAGTTGTTGACCACAACATTCTGTTTTTAATTGACTAAAATTTAATATCATTTGATATCCTTTTATCTGAGTCAACCAAATTTATAAAAATGAACGTTATTTTTAAACAGTTCGGTGAAGAATAAATTGATAAATGTCCAAACCATGTCTAATTATTTAACATTTTATAATTATTTGTATTTTATAATTAAAATATTTCTTTAAAAAGGTAAATTTTAGTATTTAGTATTTAATTTGCAAATTATAATTACAAGGTAAAACATTAGAAAGACCATTTTTATAAATAAGGATAAATCCACGTTTGTTAAAAATCTTTTTGTTAAAGAAATAACGATATTACAATTAAAGCGGCAAGTGGATGAAGGGGTTAAGAAACATTTTTAAGGATAAAATTTATTGCAATTGCAATACCAAATTTATTTTTATTTATAAGTACAATATTTTTTTCTCCTTTACTATTAACTTGCCCCTATAATTATTGTCCAAATTAACAAAAAACAAAGGTTGTTCTTGAAAAGGTTGGACTCCTCTAACGCCTGCAGGTATAAAACCCGTAATACAATTTTTTAATTTTAAAATAATATTTAATTTCGTTTGCTTAAATAAGTCAACTAAGGAAAGTTTTGCTACAGATATATGACATCTGGTGATGTCAATACTGATAAACAACCACTTAAGATCTTTTGGAATGCAAAAGGGATCCTTCCAAGTTCAATATTCAGGGGGTGTCAGGGTATAATATGCAAAATTAAATTAGTTAAATTATATAAATAAAAATCGGTAACGTATACGACAATGCATTGCAATGCTATGACTTTGTACTACGAGTACACCCCGTATTATGTTTGCAAGAAGGTATACCGCTCTACGGGACGTCCTTTTGTCAAATAACAATGTACCAATTTATTGTAAATATTAAAATGTGTTATTTAAATAGTAAGTTAGTTAAATAATGTGAACTTGTTTAGTATTAAGTTAGTAATAGTTTAATTGTTATGTTCAATACAATTGTTGTAATTTAGTTTTAAGTTTTTCAGTACATAATCTTATTAACGGTCAAAAAAACCGAATAGGTGAACTTGAATTTGAATGTATTGTTTTCTAAAGTAGTACCGAAGTCGGTACTATGCTAATTGTTAAAATATTTTATTGTAAAAACCAATATATCGGAAAAAACCAATCAACCAGTACAAAATTTGACTAAGGGCACACTTAAAATTATTAGGTATTTGACTGGGACACTAGACTACAAAAATATCTATCTCAAATGTCTTTGCCCACTTAAAAATGTTAAAACACTATTTTATCTTAATTTTGCCATGTCACACATATGGTTGACTTTTTCCAACTTTGGGGAAAGACAAAGAACGATATATGAGAGGGGGTGGATCCAAAGTCGCTTAAGTCGATTTGGGCAGTCAGTTTCCAGTTCTAGTTGCGTGCGGACGTTTTTCCAAAAACTCCTGCTCTCTAACTCAAACTTGTGTGTAACGCCAGTTGTAGCCATCTTGGTAATTTGAATCCGACGCCGCGACATCGCGCCCTCTATCGTACGAACGCTTCAACTTTGTTTAAATTTCCCGCCGCGTGTATGTGCTGCCACCTGCTGGACAATCAATTAATTGCAGTGACATTTAATTTCAAAGCCTATCGCCGTGAGTGCTGACACCTGTTAGTAGTTGTGTAGTAACAGTGAACAAGTAGTTTATTTAAGTCGATTATTAATTATTTGAGGATCTTAATCAACGAGTAGGCCCGAAACTACAGGTATGCCAAAATATGTTATCATTGTAATTGTTTTTCCAACGTAAAGCGAGTAAGAGCCATTTCATAAATAAATTAATGAATCGGGGATATCTACCTGCCTACAGTCAGTTAAATCAGGTGACAACACCCTAGTAATACTGATGTTAAACTATTCCATTTTTCACCAAATAAATACCACATCAGGCATATATTGACGGTATGATCTGCACCGGAAGTCAATATAACATTTTTCTTAAAAGTATATAGACACCTTACATTATTAATTGCTTGCATGGACTAAACGCTTGTTGTAAGGCTGTCAATATACTGTTTAATCGCGTTCAACCTGGGAGTGCAATAATATTAAATTGACAATACCTCCTGTACCTTCCGATATCCTGTAGGCTCAGCGGAAAAGGCTAGACCCAACGATGCGAAAACCAACATTGAAACGATTCCCACCGAAAAGCTATAGGCAACCACATAAAAGAGCCAACAAAGGCAATCCTTCCCAAAAAAAAAAAGAAAACTTCATAAATATTAACGCACCCCCGCAGAGACTAGTGTTGATATATGGACTGATGAAAAGGTACTAATAAACACATACCTACTTCAAAAAAAAAAAAAAAAAATAAAAATATATAAACATAGGCAACACTCGATCGTAATGATCGCCAACAAGAGAAACAATAAAAGAGGCCCAAGCCCACGGTAAATCGAGAAACGAATTACACCCGTTCATCGATTTGACTTTTATAATAAAAAAAAGGTTTTACCATAATCAGCCCCCGTAAAGCAGGGTAACTGTGACTTGATTTTATGACTGCCGGTAAGCTTCTTCTAATCCTTCGTCTTAAATACCGACTCGGGCGCCAGGTCAACGACCTTGGCTGTTTACTGTTAAAAAAGGGGTATAAAACGAAATATTGGTTTCCGCAGTTGCTTTTGTTCTCTTTACTATAAATAAATAATATGATTATAAATATTTGTTTGATTGTTTGTCACTCTTCCTACTTTATTATGACGAATCGGGGCTAGACGTATTCTTGGCCAAATTAAAGGTAAATATAGGTATTAAAAGGGTAAATTAATTAAACACAACGTAGACCGGGTCCTTTCCATTACATTCTTCTAAGTATTAATAATAATTATCTACCGCATACCTGTTTTTGTCTTATCATTCCATATGTACAATGTACATATTTAAATAATTAAAATATGTACATATTTAAATAATTAAAATATGTACATATTTAAATAATTTAAATAATTATTTTAATGAAAATTCATTCATAAAAATATTTGACGTGCTCACAATTCGATGTAATATTTTAATATCATTTAACTAACTAATACCATATTATAATTATAATTTATTAAAAAAAAAACGACCGCTTCATTCAATTTATGACATAACCACTTAAAAAAAGAATAACCAAAGACACAATTCAAACCAAAAGTGCGAAATATTACGGATACAGATAAGTGTATAAGTGACATGATTCCCCGTACCTGGCTATTATAATACCCACTTTCAGCGTTATCGCTGCTTATGCATGTAGTCGCCGCGTCGAATTTGTTTTTCGTTGAGTCATCAATTTCAAATGTCAAACACCGGTTAGTCGACATACGTCCGGCATACATCCCACATACGTATACAAAAAACTGTTACTGCTGAGCAGTAACAGTAATGTCTGTGCTTGGTTCACAAATTGATAACGCAACGAAAAGCATTCGCCGCAGCGACTATACCTGAAGATCACCGTGGGAAACAAAGGCAAAACTAGGGACTAAGAAACTTCTACAGAGACCAATTGCAATTGCGTTAACCTTAGGCACGCCAGAATTAAAACCTAAAAGCCCTTAAGCACGTTCAACCTAAATAAATAAACTCGGCGCCTGCAAAGGCCAAAAATTAAGTATCTAACCAAAGTGGCCCTCCTCCACAAAGGACGTATAATCTTTTAGAAAACCGCACAGTGGAGTTAAAATAAACAGTGTTTATCGGATTCCAATTTTAGCAAGTTAACAACGACTAGCAAATATGGCTGAATCTTCTCTGAAGTCAGCAATCAAATTTTCCACCAAATCGGAGCGGCAATACGAAAAACCTGTCGTTGACGGCAACACTTCGGTAATAAAGCCAAGAAACGGTTTTCTCACAGTGTGGCAAACAAATTGTGTATAGCGGTTTTTGAATTTTTAGCATTACAATTTTTGACGCAGACGAACAAAAAGTACCTCAAGAAGCAAGATAGGCTCTACAGTGCATAAATCACCCAAGTCATGAACCCTAATTGAATGTGGGTTTTACTAAATCCTTAGTTGAGGGGGATTCCTGATTTACTTAGTTTTGGGTCAGTGGATCGTCCCCTGAAAATCAAAAGGTTCTCTCTCCTTGTTCTAAACTCAACTAGCCTAATCAGGCGTGAAGCCCGGCTCGGCGACAAAATTCCATCGACAATGTCGTCCACGATCTCCTCACGAAGATTTTCCATCCGGGCTTAAACTTCGTATCCGTCAAACACAGGTAATGCTGTGCAGTTGCAGGATACGTTTAAGATCCGAAAGTGGATAAAATTAACTCTAGGAGATCAGTGTATGATAACACTGATGATACACTCATACTCATATTCATAATTTATTTAAAAAAATTTGATTTGTTTATGATTTCATGAAATATTAAAATATCATTTAACTACCTAATACATAATTATAAATAATATAAATCATAATCAAAATGAATGTTAAAGCAAAATATTGCCAATATTTTAATTAAAATTATTTTTTTTACAAACTTACGGATTTCCCTCATCCGGATTATCAATTTCCATCCATTTCTTAAATGCCTCTTGTGCTTCTTTGATGCATGGTTTATATCCTGCTTGACACAAAAACACTTTTGATGAACTCCTTAAGTGTGCTCTGCCTTCCGATTCACCTTCTTGAGGATCATTACCGAGTTCTTCATAAAGAGGAGTCAAAAGAATTCTAACGTAGGACTTAAACATAAAATATTAACTTGTAAAAATGCTTGCCTAAACATATAATATTTACTTGGAATTTCTTGTGTACTGCAGAACTATCAATATGCCTTCCAATATGGTCGATAAGTGTAAAAACTGGATCCCAAGCCAGATATTCCCTTTCATATTTTAAGAACAAAGTCATATTCAAGGCGGTTGCAAAACTAAGATCTCCAGCATAAGCCAAATTCCAGGCATCATGAAGCAACTTCGCTCTCGTATTTACTGGTATTTTCTTTCTATTATCTGTACATAAAAATTTAGAAAGCATGTTCCAATTGTCAACATCGTAGTTAACTGGGAAAGGTCCAATTTCTTCGGGGTTAACTATGATAAATTTGTCTTTTTCTGGAAGATTTTCAATTTTAATTTCTTTTTCACGCTTCATCCATACTGTAGGGGTACAATTTTGAAAGTTTAAGTTGGTTTGTTTCACTAATACTATTGGTATCCACCAAACAAATTTTTCTTGGTCTGGCACATCGTGAGGTCTTTCTCTAAGGTAAACTCTCTAAAACATGTGAATAGGCTTTAGGGTCCTTAAAATCATAAAATCTTATTATGGAAGTCGGGTAATAACTAATTTGCATATATTTTTCGAATAGCACAAATGTTTTGTAGCTACTTAAAATCCTTTATTTTATTATAAAATGTATTCCAATAAGGGGTCGTCCATTTTGTAACACATTTACCCAATACCCACATATTTAGAGTTCTCTAAGTATGTGATAACACCTTATTGATTTTTAGACATTTTTTTTATCAGATATTAAGCCTAGCATATCGATGACTTTCTGCCAAAGTATCGCAAGCAACATAACTCAAATTTCGCGAATTGAAAACATTTTTTGTTTTAAAGTCTGTTTTAAATTAAATATAGCCTAAAGGTTTTATAACAAGCAAATAGCTTATAATTATAGCTATTTACTTGTTATAAAACATATAGGTTATATAGGTTTATATGGTCTAAAACAGACTTTAAAACAAAAATTGTTTTCAATTCCCAAAATTTGATATATGTTGCTTGCGATACTTTGGCAGAAAGTCATCGATAGCAGCACGTGTTCTGATTTTCAGACATGTTTTTTTTGACAAAGTAATTTTCCGCAAATCTGTAGGAAATTTTGACATTTCTGACAAAATTTCAAGTCAAGTTTTCCTAACAGTTGGGAAATATTCATTTCCTTACTTTTAGGAAATGATATTTCCTTACAGTTGTTAGTTTCTTTGGCAATAATTCTAATTAAGCAGTATTCACTGCCTCAGCCAGCTCTGGAGGAGTCTCAGGAATGGAAAATTCATCATCACTTATCATTTTACACTGTTTTGTTTTTGAAAACCCCAGAAATTAAATTTATATGCGTCAAGTTAATTATTATCTATCGAATTTTAAACGATTTGCGGAAAAATAGTATGTTTACCTCGTAGGAAAAGCCACATTCCTGCGCCTCGACTTAGCAATATTCACATTCGTCCAGGAATGTAGACTTTTTCCCACTCGGTCAACAATGTACTATTATGTACTATTAAGTACTAATTCAAATTTTACTTTTAAAATAATCATTATTACTATTCTTCTTAAGGTAATAAAAAGGACATTCTTATTGGAAAATCATTTAAAAACAACTTTGATATATAATATTATGTACTTGAGTTAGTTTGGCTGAATTTTTCTTGTAGTCCCTGGTCACAGTAACCACTGGTAATCTGTCTTTTGTTATCCATGATCCAGCTATTTCATTTACAGATATTTTTTCGTCCAAAGTTTTGTCAATCCTTGCTTGTTCAGTAATGCTATTCCATATGTCATCGCCAAAGAATGTTTTGAATTCTCTGTAACATTTATTGCAAAGGTTAAAAGAAAAACATCAATTGCATTATTTATTTTATGTCATTGATGATTTAAAAGTTAATGGTAATAAAATGGAAAAAAATATGAATAAGGATAAACTTTATGAACGCATATAAAATATATAATATTTGTTTTTGTATGCCAAGGACTTGAATATGATTTTTTTAAAACGTATAAAAGAATTTACTGATATGTTCAAGTTATTATTGACCTTATCAAAACCCTTGACCATGAATTCTTTTACGCTAATTACAGTGCATTAAATAAAATAAAAGCCATAATTGTTTTTGTTCCTAAACGTTTTATATAATTAATTAATTTATTTATTTACCTGTCGGCCATAAATCGTTGCAATCCCTTTTTAAGAGTTTTTTCCCCTAGAGTGTAGTTAAGCATTCTAAATATAAGTTCAGTTTTGGCTGATGTAGAGTCCTGTTTAATAGCGGTACTTTTTCCATGAGGATATCTCTTACTAAATTCATAATAGATCGAATAAAGCATCGTCATTGGCCAATTGTTAAATGTTTCATTTTCTTCCATCTACGTAAAATAAACCAAGAATTTAAATTAATTAATTCCATTTATCCAATTAGGGGGCGTCCATTAATTACGTGAGGCAATTTTGGCGGTTTTTTGACCCCCCCTCCCCTTGGTGAGATATCGTGAGATTTTGCTCGACCCCCTCCCCCCTCCCTTAATCTCATGTGAGATTTTTTTAAATGTGTAGTTTTAATAAGTAAGTTTAAATAAGTTAATCCGTGCTTGATTCCATTAGATTTATTTAAAAAAAAACAATTTGCTTATAATTTTTTACTTAATTTAACCCTCGTTTTCTCGCAATTTTAAATAGTTCCTAAAAAAAATTACGTGATATTTGCCGAGACCACCCTCCCCCCACGTGAGATTGGGTGAGGTTTGGCTCGACCCCCTCCCCCCTAAACACCTCGCGTAATTAATGAATGACCCCTTAGGTCAAAATCATTTATATTAAAATTACGTATTGTTAGCCACAATATTTATATAAAATTAGATGCAAAATACTTATTACACTGCGCAGCACAAAATTATAATAATAATTAAAAATGGAATCATTTAGACTTCCAAATATATTTGAATAAATAACGATTAAAATAATTTAAATTCCATATAAATAATTTTTTTATACTAGGAATTTTAATGCGATTTTTTAATTAACACAATTATTTGTGTTTGTCCTATTGTGTGTTAGTCCTTCGGAGGGGACGTTTATACCCCTAACCCGCACAAGCCATTCAGTTGGCTTCTGGTACTTCTTGGGAAGTAAGGGTGGAACTAAAAGAGCACTTTTGTATATACTTTTTGTATTAACATTGACATTTTCAACTTGAAACGTTGCTAACAATAAGTTAGTTTGATAAAAAAATTCTTCACTTTATTTTGCTAGTCTCGATTTAAAGTTTTGCTTTTAAAGGATTAAAAGAAAAGTTTGAAAAAGGCAAATGCTACAAACAAATAAATGTATGCATTATAACTTTTTAGCACAATGCATAATCAATGCTTTGACAACAAACTACTAGACATATTTTGGATCCAAAAAGTGTACAATGATTGTACACTGTATATATAATATATCCTAGATGAATCTAGGTGGTACTGTTTGATATTACAACCACCACTACAAAAGCAAATTTTAAAGAGGATGTGTCATTTTGGTGATAAATGAAAAAAATATAAAATGAACCCAAGGACAAGAAACATTTTTTGTTTTGTCGAGTTTTGTTATCTTTTATTATAATTTTATATTTTTAATGTTTATTATTATTTGGTATTCATCGTTATTTTTATCGTTTATTATAATTTTGTATTCCTTGTTATGTTATTTACATTTTTTTATTGTTATATATATTTAGTTTAGGATGCTTATTATTTTTTTTAATACTACTAAATTTTATTTAACCATGTTTAAAAAATCCACATTGTAAATGGAGGCAGATTTTTCCCAAACGTGGAATAGATTACTATGGGTTTGCCACCCTTTCATTTAAAAGTATTTCCAGGGTGCATCTTTATCAATCCAAAAAAATTAAGTTGGTAAACCAAAAACATATTCTTTACTAAAGGTAGAATTTTAAAAGAAAATTCTCATCTCATTTTGGGTTGACTTATGTAAAAGAAGACGTAAAAAAGGTTAGGAAACGCTGCTTTAAAGTACATAAATGATAACAAAATTTTTTGTATTAATAGTACTCAATATTCTTTAAAAAACAACATACTCAGTGGTGGTTTGTGGTCAGTGGAATTAAAAAGGCTAATATAGTATAAGTACAAAGATGCATGTGCCTTTTTTATACTATTTTACGATAACATGATTTGTAATAGAGAAGTAGTAATTATTATTATTATTTTATTATCACATTTTACTTTTACTATTTTATATTTATGTATTAAATAATTAATAATAAAAAATAAGTATACAGTGCATAAGTAGTGCATTTAAAACCTATATATCTAAAAGTTAAAAGTGTGAAGTGAATTGCCACCCCACCTGTCGGAGTCACGCGGCATGAACCTGGAACCTGGAAGAGAACCTGAAAGAGACATCTGCGATATTTAGGGTTAACGAACCCTACACTAAATAGACCAAAGTAATGTAAGGTAAAGTAAAGCAAATTCGAAGGTACTCTCTGTCGTATAGGACGTGACAAGTAGTACTTAGTAAACACATAAATCTTATGTAAGTAAGCAAACCATTTTCTAATATTTGCTTAAATAAACAAACTGCGAGATCTTCTCGAGTATAAAAAAACAAATGGTAGAAGCAGTAAATTAAAAAAAAAACAATTTCTTTATTGTTAAATAAGAATAGGGCCGTATTCCAATTACGTATACTACAGGGCCGGCCTCATCTATTAGTGTATTCATGTTTGTAAAATAATTTAAACTAAATTGATAAAGTAAGAATGCAAATAACTAAATTTAAATGGTAAACGGTTGATACTCTAATAACAAAATAAACAAAGAAGATACATAGTCGGTAGTCGGTGCTCGGCAGGAGGGGTTGAATTTCCACAAAGGCAGATGGCACTTACGGCGGGTCGCGGCCGTCAACACTTCGGTACTGAAGACCGGATTCAGTATCTCACGGGGGGGCAAGCAATTCAAAGCGGTTACCAGAAACCGGAAACCGACTCGGACATAAACGTTCAGAAGGACAACAACAAGGACAGGTTCCAGCTTACTAACACTTCTACCCCCATTCATGAATCCCAATTGAATGGGGTTATTACTAAAGCCCTGGTTGAGGAGGATTCCGGATTGTACTTAGTTTTGGGTCAGTTCAATATCCTCCAAAAACCAACAGTTACCCTCCTTGTCCCGATCTCCACTAGCCTAAACTGGGCGTATGGCCCGACCCGGCGACAAAAATCTGGCAGTGGCCTTAACCATCGACATTGTCATCCACGATCTCCTAGCGTAGATCTAGTAGTCGGCGGGTCCAACAAACACAGGTAATGCTGTGCAGTGTGGGATACGTAGGAGAACGGAAAGGTGGTAAAATACCCCTGGGAGATTAGTGTAAGCTGATATCGCTGGGGCCTGCCATACGTCCCCATACTCATACTCATATATTAAATAATTAATAATTTTAAATGCAAATTAACAAAACAACACTATTATAAGCTTCGAACTGTCTATTTGCCTTAGACAGTTACGTTCATCATTGAGCTCATCATAGTGTTCATCATGTGTCTAATGATCCTGGTACAAAGTCACTAAAATTTGCCATTTTAAATGTACTTAAAATCACTAATTGTCATAGCGAAAAAGCAGCCACTAATAATTTTCGTCAACAGCAATTTGTATCCCAAACATTTAGCAATCAATTTCCATGTAAAATTGTCCCCTGAATCCGAAAATGTCGTCAAAATTAAAAAAGTAGAACAGTTTTTGAGATGTAGTCAACTTTCCATATAATATGTAATTGGCTATATCTCAAAAACTGTTCTATTTTCATAATTTTTCGGATTTTAGGATTCAGTGGACAATTTTACATAAGAATTGGCTGTTAACCATGGTATAAGTGAAAACGCAGCCGCTAATAACTGTGGCAACTAGTCATTTTTGACTAATTCATTTTTAAAGACCTTTAAATTAATTTATAATTTTTATATGTTTCATGCTTAATTTACTATTTTTCTTGCGATTAAGTGGTTTATTATTGTAAAAATTATATGTGTATAATTTAGCAAATTTTGTATAAATAATATAGATTTAAAAAGTGCAGTAATTTTTCGATATAAAAAAAATTGCGTGTCTGCAATTCTTAGAAAATATACCAATTGGTGTCACTGTAAATATTAAGTACTATTTAAATAGTACTATCTTAGGGTCTATAACCTATAAATACTAATAATATAAATTTTATGATGAAAAAAATAATTTATCTCAACGCAATGTTTGCTAAGTCAAATAATGAATTTGAATTATTTATAACACTAATAATAATAAATACTAATATTTATAAATTTACAATTTTACAATTTTATATTCTAAAAATTTTAATGTTTAATTAATGATGTAAATATTTTAAGTTCTAAAAATACGCACTACAATAATTGAATTATTCTTGATAGGAAAATATACCAATAATTATTGGGTTCACTGTGAATATTGCTTTTTTAACTATTTATAGAATTTAGAGTCTAGGATCACATATTTTTGTTAAGAAAATTATCCAATATTAATCAATTATAATTAATGTTATGATAGGTGCATATATTTATAAACAACAAAATGGTGGTTTATTATTGGAAACAATATTATTTGCATGATTTTACATTTTGTGTAAATAAAATGATGCAAACATTTAAATAGTTCCGTAATTTTTCGTTAAAAAAATGCTTACCTACAATTCTGCACACAAAAAACGTAGTGTTTGCTGTGAATATATGTTATTTATTTTAAATATACCTTTAGTTTCTATATGCGCGATTAAATGATATCTTTTAAATAAATCAAATCAAATCAGTTAAAATAAATTACTAAATTCATAACAATAGTTATAGATTTGTTTTAAATATAATACCTTTCCATTTAGTATACTATAATATAGTGTACTAAATGGAAAGGTATTATATTTAAAACAAATCTATAACTATTGTATATATACATATTATGTATATATACGCATTTAAATATATGAATTTATTTGACTTAAAATATTTTTATGTGTGTGAACAAGAAAATGACCAAAATACCAATAAAGATCAATGTTAATATCGTTAAATTCATTTTATATTTAAATATCTAAAGAGCTTAAACTATTTCTTCTTAACAGGGACAATAACGCTCCCTGGGGGCGTGCATGGGTGCTGAGGGGGCAGCGTAGGTACCTGCTTGTTTTGGGAGGTTGAGGGCAAATAGTTTAAAGCGGTTTTTTGCATTTAACTTAATAATCTCCCTACACCACTACCACCGTGCATAAAAATATCCAGTGCCAAAGCGACAAAGAGGGATTGTAGCAGAGACAAGGGAGAGAGAGACGAACGATTACCATATAAACATTGGAAACAATAAATATAGCGCCCTCGCCGGGGGCTGCGAGAACTAACGCTAAATAAATTTTGCGCGGTGTTTTAAAATATTTAATTTTTGTTTGCTACAATTGAATCGTTGAGATTAAGAGCTGTACAAGTACAAAAAATTTGACAAATTATAGTCAGTTTTATAGTTCAAAATGCATTTTTGTGAAAATATTTCAACTATCTACTTTATAAAATATAATAATCATATCTTATAAAATAATATAAATCTTCTCACAAAAATTCATTTTAAATTGATTTTAGAAAATAATTTGTCAAAATAAATATTTTGGACTTGTACTGTTCATAATCTCACCGATTCAATTACAAAGTAGGATCTTTGGTAGATATTAGGTATGTTTAAAAAAAAATAGCTTTAAAATTAAAATTATTTTATTTACAACCTGTAAACAAATAAAAAACAAGAACAAAAATAACATTGAACCACAGACCACCAAAACAAATGCATTGCCATTCAATAACAATGCTTGCGGTCAAGGAACGGTCACAGTCTAAGCGTTAAATTGGCTATAGAATTTTATGTTTTCTTCCAGTGACGTATTGCGTACTCCAAAACAGCTGACATATAACAAATATGACAGCTGACTGCAACCAGTGCAGTGGTGTTAAATAGGGATACCTAATTTAAAAATAGTTTAATTTAATTGTGATTATGATACGTTTTTTAAATTAAATTTATTTATGTTACATGCTGTAAATGTTAAATAGGGATAATTTTATTTAATTAAGTTTTTATTGAAATAATAATCAGCAGCAAAGATTAGGTTTAGTGAAACAAATTGGTTTATAAAATTTTTAAATAATTATGAACAAATATTGGGATTAAAAAAATAATAAGTAGGTAGGAACTTACAAACGATATTTCCATGTATTGTTATTTTTATTAAAAAATAATGTATTTAAACTCAATAATTAACTTAAACACGATAGAAATACACAAACGAAAACACAAAACAACAAGCTGTCAACCTTTTTCTATGCTGTCAACTACAATCCACTGAACGCAAATATGACGAATTTACCAACGTTGTTCAATGCACAGACCACCAAAACAAATGGACGGATTTGTTTACGTTTAAAAAGCGAGTAAAGCATAGTTTCACATTCTAAACACCGTCGAAAGAAACACGGCTTGTAACGTTGTCAGAAGTATATATTACACGCCTTTTTGGACGTTCATCATTATATAATGAACATTAAAAATTACCAGTAATTCGTTTGAATAATAAAAAATTGTTCACCATTTTCTTTAGATATTTTTCTCTATTTAAAGAAAGTAAATCATTTAATAATTATTAAAATTAAATAATATTTAATTTTAATAATTATTAAATGATTTACTTTCTTTAAATAGAGAAAAATATCTAAAGAAAATGGTGAACAATTTTTTATTATTCAAACGAATTACTGGTAATTTTTAATGTTCATTATATAATGATGAACGTCCAAAAAGGCGTGTAATATATACTTCTGACAACGTTACAAGCCGTGTTTCTTTCGACGGTGTTTAGAATGTGAAACTATGCTTTACTCGCTTTTTAAACGTAAACAAATCCGTCCATTTGTTTTGGTGGTCTGTGCATTGAACAACGTTGGTAAATTCGTCATATTTGCGTTCAGTGGATTGTAGTTGACAGCATAGAAAAAGGTTGACAGCTTGTTGTTTTGTGTTTTCGTTTGTGTATTTCTATCGTGTTTAAGTTAATTATTGAGTTTAAATACATTATTTTTTAATAAAAATAACAATACATGGAAATATCGTTTGTAAGTTCCTACCTACTTATTATTTTTTTAATCCCAATATTTGTTCATAATTATTTAAAAATTTTATAAACCAATTTGTTTCACTAAACCTAATCTTTGCTGCTGATTATTATTTCAATAAAAACTTAATTAAATAAAATTATCCCTATTTAACATTTACAGCATGTAACATAAATAAATTTAATTTAAAAAACGTATCATAATCACAATTAAATTAAACTATTTTTAAATTAGGTATCCCTATTTAACACCACTGCACTGGTTGCAGTCAGCTGTCATATTTGTTATATGTCAGCTGTTTTGGAGTACGCAATACGTCACTGGAAGAAAACATAAAATTCTATAGCCAATTTAACGCTTAGACTGTGACCGTTCCTTGACCGCAAGCATTGTTATTGAATGGCAATGCATTTGTTTTGGTGGTCTGTGGTTCAATGTTATTTTTGTTCTTGTTTTTTATTTGTTTACAGGTTGTAAATAAAATAATTTTAATTTTAAAGCTATTTTTTTTTAAACATACCTAATATCTACCAAAGATCCTACTTTGTAATTGAATCGGTGAGATTATGAACAGTACAAGTCCAAAATATTTATTTTGACAAATTATTTTCTAAAATCAATTTAAAATGAATTTTTGTGAGAAGATTTATATTATTTTATAAGATATGATTATTATATTTTATAAAGTAGATAGTTGAAATATTTTCACAAAAATGCATTTTGAACTATAAAACTGACTATAATTTGTCAAATTTTTTGTACTTGTACAGCTCTTAATCTCAACGATTCAATTGTAGCAAACAAAAATTAAATATTTTAAAACACCGCGCAAAATTTATTTAGCGTTAGTTCTCGCAGCCCCCGGCGAGGGCGCTATATTTATTGTTTCCAATGTTTATATGGTAATCGTTCGTCTCTCTCTCCCTTGTCTCTGCTACAATCCCTCTTTGTCGCTTTGGCACTGGATATTTTTATGCACGGTGGTAGTGGTGTAGGGAGATTATTAAGTTAAATGCAAAAAACCGCTTTAAACTATTTGCCCTCAACCTCCCAAAACAAGCAGGTACCTACGCTGCCCCCTCAGCACCCATGCACGCCCCCAGGGAGCGTTATTGTTGTGCATTGAACACAAATAATTTATAGACAAAAATAGAAAGAAAAATAATGTAAAAATATTAAAATATTAATTATATTAAAATATGAAATAAACATACTACACGAAAATATTTTAAACCAAAAACTTAATTAAAAACACAAAAAAACACTCTAAAAACTAATTGAATTGAATTAGAGAAGAAAATAATTTTATCACACATACATATTTTAATTTACTTACTTTGACCTTAAATAATGTCATTTAACAATAATTGACAATCTGCTAAATGTAACAAGGTATAATAACTTATAATAAATAAATCCTATAAACAAAACCACAGAAGCACTTTTAGTATTTACCATAGAAAACCCCAAAGGGTGACAGCAGACTGACAGACGACAGAAAATGACAGTAAAGAACATAATTGCGCCTTTTCAGTGCAGGGCTGTCAACAAATGCGCATAAACCGATTTACATTGAAATCTGTATGCAGCCCTGCTCATCTAAATTGTTGACCGAAATTCCTATTTAAAGAATCGTCTTTCTCTCTCACTTGTCTCTAGATTGTAGTTCTTTCACAAGTGTCTATTAATTCTCACAATTCATCATTAACCCAAGATAGACCACTACTTTATCAAAAGTAGTTAAGTAGCCTAAATTGCCTGCCCGTAAGGGGGCGCAGAGTACGTTACTTAATTTTTTCGAAAAGTGCTGTAATATATATTAATAATAGTAACAGTAATATATATAACAATACATTTAAAGTTAATAATTATTTCATTACCTTCGAACACGCAACTACCTATGTGTTTACTATGTGGGTTGGGTTGTTGTGAGCATCTGCGAAAACTTCACCCAGACAAACAAAATAGAGATGGGTCGAAATTTAAAATATTTTATTTAGAATCAATGTTGCCTACTTGACCGATTTATTCAAAAAATTCAAAGGAGTCAATTTGCAACTTCAAGTTAATGAACTAAATTTAAAATAAAAACAAAATCTGACATTTCTGCTTTCCAAAAAAACTAACTTTGTAAAAGCAGAATTTCGGCTGCAACGAGTTTAGCCAAGTTTACTGTCAATACTTGAATACTTGTCTAATTGTTTTAAGGATATTGTGGTACTGAAAGTTCCTGAATTGGTCATGAATCCTTTTGTGAATAAAGCGACAGCAAAGGTTAAGATTTAACTTTGAACTATTAAGACGTTGATAGCCAGCTTTTAGGATTGTGATAGCTAACATAAGCTACTTATACCCTGAAGGGTCATGACTTTTCCCAAACCTAATTAATAATAAATTTTATAATTTGGTAATTTATGGTAATACTGTGAAATTTGTATTCCATTTAAATCTTTATTATTTTATTTCTTTATCTATACCTTTTATATTTTTATAATATGTAAAATGTTTTACCTTTAATGTTGTGTAAGCTGTAACATATCTCACAAGTGCATTATTAATATGGGCATCGCTCCACCAAAATGGAGTAGCTAAAGCACCCAGCCATTGATACACCAATTCTTGAGTTATATGCCATGATCCTTTTCCACTTAATTCACTCTCTCTAAAAATGTAAAAAATGTAAAATTACCAATATTGTGGCTTTATTATCACGAAAATTTGATGGCATTTAGTGTGAAAATAATTCTGGGCATATTGCACTAAACCAGAAATGAGCCTTATCACTGAAAATGATTTGCCGGTAAAAATCCGGTTGATTTTTACCCCATTTACCCCATTCACCGAACGTGCACCGCAAACGATGGCTATTGGTTTCAGATCCTACACCAGCTGGATCTTACGATATACAGGTGTAACCAAAATATTTTCTTACACGTAGTTGACGGACACAGGCCCAGAAATTTCAGTCCTTGGTCACACTCTAGTCTACAGCTGCGATCGTTTCTTTTATCCATATTCATAGATATAAAAAGATTATGCACACCATAAATTGGACAAAGTGCTTTATAGTTTGGCGCTCAGAACGCCTATTTTGAAAATAAATTTCCACTATTTGTAAACGTTGTTCGGGTGTAAGTCTTTGTATGGTAATTTTCCAAAGTATACCCAAAGATATTATTAATATTATCTTTAGTATTATCTTTGAATATACCTACTAAACAAAATGTCAAAGACAGGTGAAAATTCGGCCAGCTGGTTTGGCAGATATCCCTATCGAAATTTCTATACCCTAGTCAAAAACAGTCAAAATGTTTTTTGAATATAAAGAGTGTTTTTAAGAGATTCTTTCTAAAAATGAATTAGTCAAAAATTACTAATTTAATAGTTATTAGTGGCTGCTTTTTTACTTGTACCATGGTTAACCATGGAATACCATGGTATCCTAAAATTTAACAACAAATTCTTATGTAAAATTGTCTCCTGAATCCTAAAATACCGTCAAAAAATTATAAAAGTGGAGCAGTTTTTGAGATGTAGTCAATTTCATATTAAATGGAACATTGACTATATCTCAAACACTGTTTCACTTTTTTTAACTTTTGACGATATTTTCGGATTTAGGGGACAATTTTATATAAGAATTGGTTGTTAAATTTTGGGATACCATGGTATCCCATGGCCATGGTACAAGTAAAAAAGCAGCCACTAATAGGTAACTATTAAATTAGTCATTTTTGACTAATTCATTTTTAAAGGAAATCTCTTGAAAACACTCTTTATATTCAAAAAACATTTTGACTGTTTTTGGTACTTAATTTAAAAGAAATATATAAATAATTTTACGATTTGCGATGTGACGCGTTCCAAGAAAACGAAAGTTAGGTCTAAAAAATGATTTTTGAGATTATAATTAGATTGGTACATGGTATTTTAAAAAATCAAATAATAATTCGTTTATCTCAAAAATTGACAATTATAAGAATTTCCGAAGTCGAGTGTTACTACACAAACGCCCTATTTAGAAAAAAATAAATTGTAAACTGTTTCTGATAACTTTTGAGACATCTTGTCTGAATAATCCATCACAGTATGTCCCACAGTCACCGAAAAATATGTTTGTTATGAATTTTAGATTCTTGGTGCTTTCTAGAAATATTTTATTTTTTTTTATTAAAGATTTTCTAAAATTTTTTAAAATTTCTACATTAATACTACCCATTTTTGAAAATATTGAAGATTGTAGATACATACCCGGAAAATCAATTTTGTTTGAAAACTACGATACTTTTTGTGAATCGGACCATGCCTGTATTAATGTTTTTATAATGTGGCTTACTAAAAATTATAATATCACGTTCAATTTTAAAAAATTTAAAATTGCTAATAATACCAATTTTCAACATAATCTTTAAATTATAATTCATAAATAAAATAATATTGGTGAGCGTGAGACACCCTGTCCGGTCCGTATTTATGTTTTATAATTTTTATTTAAACATATTATGATACTATAGTATGCAACCCAAATTGCTTAAAACTTACTTAAATAGTAAAATACCCCAGCTATCAGCAGGTCGGGTGGCTTGATAGTTGGGCAAAGCAAAAATATCTAGTTTTGGCAATGGATATCTCCTGGCCCAAAAGTCTTCCAATATATGAATTGATTGATTTACTTTTGATGATACATTAACTAAAGCATTAATAAAGTTTGGTCTTGCCCAAACATCCATATCAATGTCTAAAAATAATAACTGAAATAAACCAGTTTTAATTTTAATGAGTTTTTTACTGTATCCAGTTAGGGTGTGATTATCCTTTAGAACTTTGGAGTTTTTAATTTGACTGAATTCAGATATGACAAAACCGACTGAGAACGTTGCCATTGGAGGTGATTTTTCAAAAGTGTCCCATACCCAATCATTCATGTTTTCCCTAAAATTATACAATATATTTTATAAATAGATTTACTGGATATTTTTTCTTACATTGGTTCAGTATGTAACAAAGGCATATTTGATGTGGCAGTCATATTTTTATGTCTTCCAATCTTAATCACCATGGGTGTTTTGTAACCGGGTTCATCAAAACAAGGAAATACATTTCTGGCCAAATTGGGCCTAAAATGCGTGGCAACAAACCATTTAGTTTCAGTCGTCTGAGGATCCACATAAGTACTCTTAAAAAGGCCTTCACTTGTGTCGTTGAATATTTTTCCTTTGTAAATTAGGGTTATTTCAAACATTGCACCCTCTTTAATTGCTTCTTTAAGAATAAAGCTGATTACAGGTTTCTTTTTCTCTTTCTCTACATCCTTGATTATTAGTGACTTTGGAAAGGTTTCTATTGGTACTTTGGTTTTACTAAAAAAAATTGATTTAACTTTTTCCGCTCTGGTAAAGTAAACACGGTGGTTTTACTGGGCCATAGTCAGGGGGCAAATCTGGGCGCCACCTTGGCAGGCAAAAATTTCTTTAACTTGACCCCTTTGACTGAAATTTAGGTACAGCTCGTATAACAGAAACTGTCTGGCTACGGCCCTGTGGTTTCATATGATGAATAACTTTTAATTTTATACAATTTTATTTATATTAGGTACTTACATTTCCTCATCGGATCTGGTAAACTGCCTCACAGAGCTCTCAAGAAGTTCCATGTCAGGATGAAAATGTAGAGCAACTGTGTCAGTGTGTTGTTGAACAGTAAAGTTTATTGAAACTTTACCATTAAAAACACCCTCTGGTAGTGGGTGTATTTGTATTAAATACTCATGTGGAATTAGATCTTGTGGTAGTTTAGTGTCTGTGATTAACCCATGTGCTGCTATTAAATCTATGCTACGTTTTTGCGTATATCTAGCATAAGTCTATTAAACAAAAAAGTTTGTATACATTTGTTTTATATTAAATATTTTTAATATTTACTTACCAAATTAAAAACTATTAATAAAAAAAGCGTTTTGGGCCACATTTTGTATGTTTCTAAAAAAAAATTTGTAAGATTAACAAATTATAAACATGTTAAGTACAATTAAAGTTGTTTCACAAAGGATAAAAAATATATAAAAGATAAAAAATATATAAAAGAATGGACTTTTCTTTTATATCTATATAAAAGAAAAGTCCGGCCTATTAAAAGTCTGGATGCTAAAATTTTTTACCAGATTTTCAATCAATAAATAAAATCCTTAATGACGACGTATTTTTAAATTTTTTTTTAAATATTTAAATAATAAATTTATTTTTTAATTTAGCAGTTTAAGAAATAATTGAAGGGGTAAGACGCAAAAGGGTAAAAGTGCATTTAAAATAAAAATAAGTTAAGTATAGAATTGGATAGTTAAGAGTCCAAATTGTTTTAAACATTTTCTCATAACCTAAAAATGATACGAATTCTGCATAATGATTAATGACCTCTTTGACTGAAATTTACTACCCTTCTAAAAACGTTTCCATAAATTATTTCCCACACGAAATTTTGTGCTTATTTTTCAAACGCTTATTACTTTTTCAAAAACTAATTATTTGTGAAATTCGCCAATTTTAATTTTTTTTTACAAAAAATCTGATTTAATTTCTTAATTTTTCCCCAAACCCGATTGTGTGCCAACTTTTATTTTTATTTTTTACCTATATATTTATTTGGATTTATTTTATTATAAAAAATTTAAAAAATGTTTTTAAACAAAATGAAAATCTTGCCCACCTTGGGATTTGCGGCATTAATTAATTAATTTCACAGAATAGGACTTTAAAATATTTGTTTTGTATTTTTTTATGAAAAGCAAGTTTATAAACAAAAAATTAAAAAAAGTTTCGTTTGGTCGGATACCAGATTTTCAATCAAGTTTGATAAACGCTATTTTGGTGACGAATTTCATTAGGCATAACGGACATCTAATAAAAAATAGAGTAACTCGCGTAACAATTTATAACTTAGGAATGTCAAATTTGTATGTGTGAATCAAAATGTGTGTCTTGAAAATGGACTAACAACCGTTTAAATGACGATATAGAAGCAGTTTTTTATAGTGTGAAGAGAATGTTTTATGGGAACTTCAAGGTGGAGTTTCCATCCGAAATTTTTAATGCTTTAAGTTAAATCTAGTTTACTGACGGAAAAATTAAAAAGGTCAGTACAAACTTGAATATAAACTTTTCAAATGGGTATTCGCGTTGAGAAACTATTTAATACTTTTTGTTTTTGTATTAGGATAACAAAATAATTTCCACATTATTATTTCACAAGAAGGGGACTTTTACGGGATTTTAACGATTTTAAGATATTTGATAACTGTCAACTAACTTAAAACTAACTTTAGCCCGTGACTAAAACGCCATAAAGTTAAAACTTGTCAATGTGTATTTAAAACATCATGGAAACAATAATTGACGTTTTAAAGGTGGGAGTGGAAAAAAACCCTTAACGATTACTTAGGTACCTATTTTTTTAATTTTTAAAAAATATTTAAATTAGTAATTGCACAATTAGTATACATAGCTAATAAATCATTATTTTAAAAATAAAATTAAAAATTTACTTTAAGTAATAAATTAAAAATGTGTTTTTGTATAATAATTACGCAATTTTTATAACAGAGATTTCGGGTAGAATAACTTATTTTTAATAATTCTATAACGTTAACATTAATTAAAAGTTTTTAATATTATTTGGTGGGTATTTCTAAAAAAATTATAATAAAAATAATAAAAACAATTTGTATTAATTATTTTACTTAGGAAAATACGATATGTAATAAAAATATTATTTTACCGATAAGTAACATTACTTTAAATAATATTTCAAATATCGCAAACCTAAACATTGTTACATGAGTATTTAGAAATTAATAAACACAAAAGCAAAATTCAATAACAGTAGTTAAACACTTACTATTTACAATGTGTCCAAAACCTTATCATTTTGTGTATAATATTAATTAATTAATTAGCAAATATTTTTTGTTAATGGGTATTCAAATTAGATTATGATAATAATCATATGTTGTGTTTAAACATTTCCAAGTGATTATAATGTGCAACTCAGAAAACTTCAAGTGCTTACTGTTGTTTTCTGCTGTTTTTATTAATTTTGCCAACTCTTCATATAAGGTAAATGGTATGAAAAGATATAACGTTAAAATTAATATAAAAATTATTTTGCTTTAGACTTGCCAAAGTGAAAAATCGAAGACATCCAATGTAACTTGGATATATCAGAAAAGAACAAACTACATTACCTACTCTCATCCTCCATGTCTTGATGTAAACAATAAACTAATTCTTAGAGAATGTAAAAATGGAACATGGATTCCAAAAAACCCAGCAAAATGTCATACGATTATAAGCGACAACAAAAACTGTCCAAATTATTTTATAGAAACAGACGTTTGTACTATAGTAACTAGACCTTTACATTGGTATGAAAGATGTACAGAACTCTCAAATAAAGTAAACTCCAAACAACTACAACCAAAACCTAATGAAAATTTAATATGGCTATATGCCAAAAGACGAGTGAAATACGGGCCATACGAATATATGACCATAGATTCAAAGCATGGGCAAATACTAAGTCTAAATTATGCTATACATAACACAGATGATTTATTCAATAAAGATTGTTTACTTTTACATCCTATTTTAAATAATTTGGTGCCGGAATATTGCCATAAACTTCATCCACATATTTGTATATTTAAGAAAAATACAACAAATGTTATATGTCCCAAAGGCTGTACATCCGCCGGCATTGGATCTGGTAAATGTTACTGTAAAAAATATAATACCGATTGTAATAATTATGCCACCATTGAAACTCCTTATGATAAACATCTTTTAAGCCATTTTGTGGACCAAGAAGTTTGTAAAATCAATAATTCACAAATTATTTCGAGAAATGTATGGCAAACTTTGAATGAAAATACAAATTGTTCTATATGTGTTACAGATATAAAGTATATTGTAAATTCAAGTAGTGTTACCCCAAAATTGGTACTTAATTTTGCCGAAAAAAGAAATAAAATATTTTTAGTATTGTACTCTCCGGAAGCTATTTTTAAAATATTAAACACCGAAGCAATATACTGCTACACTGATGCATCTGAAGATTTTCTAAAAAAAACTTTAAAAATAGAAAAAATTAACAAGTCAAAAAATAGGGAGACACTTGGTGTACAAGAAGAGTCTGTAAACTTGTATAAGGTTGAAATGGAATTATACATGGGCAGATATTGGTGTGAAGCTCACAAACAAACAGATTTTAACGATATTGTTTCTTCAAACTATGTAATTGCGTATAAGAATAAGAAAGGCAATGAATTTGCCTTAAGATTATATATTGACAAAGTATGTCAACAATTTGATTGTGGAGATTTTGTTAATATACAATTTACAAAATTTATACCACCACAGTTGTACGAAATTTTTAAGAAATCTGATCCTGTAATAAGAGTTATGGAAGTTTATGACTTCAATTTAAATATGGAAACAGTTGATTTACTTTTGCATGTAACAACAAATAAAGAAAATAAAATAATAGAGGAATTTTATAAATACAAAAATAGATTACTAAGTGTCAATTTAAATATATCATATTTTAGGACTGTTGAATATTGTATACCAACTAAAAATCACTTGGATGGAGTGTATTTGTCATGGCCCTTAACCAAAATTCATGAAAGTACTTTACCGAATGAAATTTGCAACTATCAGGACCCACCCAATAGAATTTGCGAAGGACACTTTTTAACAGGGGCTGTTTGGTCCAACATTTTTGGACAGTGGAAATTAAAAGAAGAACCTTCAGAAATAACCAAAATGTTATACAATATGACAACAAGTAATAATTCCAATAAAAATCTAAAAAATATAACAAAAGAGATAAAAAATAACAGTTTAAATTCGATGGATGTTTACTATGCCTTAAAAGTTTTGGAAAATGTTGATAAAAATGATAATTTAATCGATGATGTAACGAATAGCGCAGTAGAAATTGTTGATGAAATAAGTGAAGCTAAAACAGAAGTTGTATTACAAACACAGCAAATTTTTAATAGCTCTGATAAATTGATAGATAAAATTGAGAATATATTAGTGAAAACTAAATACAACCTAAGTTCAGCTTATATTTTTACTAGAAAAAATATATTAATATTTATGACTAATCCATTTTTAAGCAACTATTCTGGGTTGTCAATTTACACAAATTATTCCCAAGTAATAAGAAATCGGGGTGAAACTTTTAGTAATATTTTAAATAAAGAAGATTTGTTGTTGTCAGTATACGTGCCGGAAACAATTTTGGAAAATATTTATAATAACACAAATGGTGATGTAATTAACGTTAGACTCCTTATTATTGTGTATAAAAATGATAAATTTTTTTCTGGTAAGGATAAAAAACCCAAAAGCCCTATTATAAGTGTAAATATACCAAATTTTGGTAGTTACCTGATTAACTCTCTGCCTATATTGTTTCGGGATAAATCCAATCATGAGTATCGCGAATGTGGATTTTGGGACTATGGCAAAAGAGGTGAACATCATAAAGGACGATGGTCTACAATTGGAGGAAATTTTTTGGGAAAACTCGTAGATAATGAAGATATTTATATTTGCACTTTTTCTCATCTAACACATTTCGCTTTATTGATTTTAGAAGATTACACAGACTTAACTCAAGGCTTGAATTATTTTTATCTTCGTCTGATAACAATAATTGGACTATTATTAACTATAATAGGTTTATTGGGCGTTTTACTAACAGCAATGTTTTTTCAAAACTGGCGTGCTAGACCAGGTACTAAAATATTAATAAATCTATCAACAGCTATAACTTTCCAAGCTCTAAGTGTTCAATTAATGGATAAAGAATCTGTACACTCTTACATGGGGTGTTTAACGACGGGAATGCTTCTTCATTACATGGTTATAAGCAAATTTTTATGGATGTTAATTTACGCTTATTTACAATATTTAAGATTCGTGAAGGTATTAGGCCCAATGCCTAATAGACTTGTTCTTAAATCGGTTCTGTTCGGCTGGGGACTTGGATTAATACCGGTTATATCGGTCACTATTTTTGATTCCAATATATACAAAAACAACGAAGAATTTATTTGCTATCCGAGGGGCCTATCGTTGTACCTTGGTATACTTTTACCAATTACCGTAATAGTACTTATAAACTTGGTTATATTTGGGGTAGTTATGTTTGAAGTTTGGAATAGAAAAATCGAATCTCAAGGTAAAAGTGTAGACAGCAATAAGTTGCAAATAAAATTAAGTATATTATTGTTTATTATATTTGGTATACCATGGGTTTTTGGCATAATTGCAGAAATTGTTCAATTTTACTGGATAAAAATGTTTTTTATTTATTTATTTTGTGTGACTGCTACAATTGAACAATTTATTTTATTTATATTTTATGTAGCTTTAAATAAAGAGACACAGAAAAAGTGGATTGTAATCATAAAGAAAAATAAATTAAATAATTTATAAATTTTATTTTATTTAACCTTTCAACTGCTCCTGATCAAAGATAAGGAAGGTATTAGTACAGTTTGTGTCAAAAGAATTAATCTTAAAAAAATCAATTATAATTAAGTTTTTTTTGTTTTTTTTTAATGCTTAGGTCACCAATCTTCTGGGAGGAACATCCTCATGGACATCCGAACAAAAAACGTTGCTGGATAGTGCCGGACTCCTATTATCCTATTATTATTATTATTGTTATTATTATTATTATTATTATATATTATAATAATATATTATTATTAATTAATTAATTAATTATTATATATTATTATTATTATTATTTTTAGCCTTTGCTTATTTCTTTTTTCGCTACTAATGTTTTATTTACAGAATAGTACCATTTGGTACTTTTATTTGCGTTATTCATAAAACAAAAATAATTCTTCTTCTTTTCCCATTTTCCTCCCAATTATATTTCTTAATATCTGTTTGCTTTCTTATTCTATATATTGCTTGTTCTTTCTCTTGAGGACTGTTTTACGTTTCTTTTCCAGAACCTTATGTTTTTAAGGAGATTGTAGAAATGCATATAAGCTTTACCTATATATAGCTATAGTTATTTCATTTGGAAGAATGTTCTTTATTATGAATCGGTAATATTAAGTTTCCTTCCCATTCTTTTGGTATTGTTTAATTTGCATAACATTTCATTATAATCTTAAGCTACCACTCCAGAAACTTAATTATTTCTGGGCTTATTTCTTCATATCACCTCGCTTTTCCCATTTTAATTTTGCTTACTGCTTCTTCCATTTTCTTCATTGTTATGTTTTCGTCCACTTTCTTCATTATCTTTAAATTGTTCCAAACAATAATTTGCCAATACTTTTAAGTTATATTTCTTTTTTAATATTATCGATTTGGTTTCTAATACCTTTAATTCTTCTTTATTGATCTAATCGTGTTTCAGAGGAATTGTTGTAAAAGTTTTATTAATTTCTTTTCAGAATTCTTCCCATATAGGTATCCTTTTAGCATTCTTATACTCTTCTCTTTTATTTTATTTTTATTTTGTAAGTTTGCACTTTTTTATACTGTTTATTTTTATCTTGTATGTTGTTTATAGTCATATTTCTTCCTCCCAGAATTTTGCCATGCCCCCCATTCCTATATTTAAGTCTTTACCAATTATGGTATTTTAATCTCCCATAATAGTAATTATAATAATAATAATATATTTACCTGTTCATCAATAAATTATATAAAAAGTAAATAATGTTTAAAGACATAAAAAGGTACATATGAAAAAGAGTGCAAAATAAATTTTGTATAGAATTTAACAAAACAGTTTAAAATATCACATATTTAAAGTTCCTTTACCATGTACTCCTCTAATAAAAAAAGCATTTTCCTGAAGCAGTTTTTTGAGTTGTGAAACTTTCTTATTGTTCAGTTTTTTTAGTACTATATAATTTAGCTGTGTGCTAAATTGGTGCAATAATGAGAATATATTATTATACGAGACATAATGCGCATAATCTAGAGTATACTATACTATACTATACTATACTATACTTTATCTACTTCAATAAGTAGATAATTAAATGATTTTTAAAAATAAATAAACAAAATCTGATATCTGTTAAATCGTTAACCTCGCTTTTTTATGTTATTATATTAGTTAATATTAGTTATTATATTAGTTATTATATGCCTTCTCTCAATTTAAAACTGGATTGGTTTAACGTTAATAATGAGTTCACTATTCCCGTTGTTATGGAGGGAATTCATAATGTTTATTATTATTCACAGAAAAAAAAGAATATTAAGCAATAGGAGTAGGTAAATATTTTTATCCACGACTACCTTATAATATATACATTATAAATGAGTTTTCTAAAGCAAAATGATAGTCATATTTCACAGAGTGAATAATAGCAGTGAATAATCATTATTCACTGGTCTAGAGTTAGTATAGGACACACGATATAGATTGTATCTGGCAAGCACTTATAAGTTCGTCTAGGCAATTATAGCCAGGCACTTTAATTAGCTAACTTTATACCAATCATAAAAGTCTTGTTAAAGTATTACTTTAATATGCTTTTAATGCAATTTAATAAAAATTTAACATTAAGTAGACTATTTCAAGTAAGTAAGCCATTGACATGACATGACAAGCTTAGCATAAATTGCTGTCAATTTGAAACGTCATAACTTCGATTCAGCACACGATTTTTGTTACAAATTATTATTAAGCTTAAATTATACATAAAAAATCAAAGCGTGAAAGATGAAGAGATGTTACGCACTCAACAAAACATCACAGAAGTCACTTTTCGAAATACGAATACCTAAAAAATCACATTCATTGGAAATAAAATACTGCATAATCTATAAATAATAGAATTATCAAGTAGGTAGTAAGCCATGTAATCAACTGACAACTAATAATTATTTGAAACGTCAAAGTTTAACGACGCGGTGGTGCAATAATAATTACTGTTAAAATTATAATTTGCTTTCAAAAATACGTTAACAATGGAAATTGATAGTGAGGAAGACATATTGTGTACTCCACCGGAGATAACAGAAGCTGCAAAAGTCACTTCCCTGAATTTGTTGCCTGAGAAATCCCAAAATTTGTACGTATCTGTGTACAACACCTTTATGGACTGGAGAGCGACCAAGAAAATTAATTAATTCTCAAAGTCAGTTTTACTGGTATACTTTATATATATATTACAATTAATATAAATAAATAGTTTTAAAAATAGTCACAGGCATCTTTAATTTTTGGTTTTGTTAATGTCAAATAGGTTATAATAAATATAAATTTTTTTGCATTAAAATCCGTTGAAAGTCAATAGTAGTCGTGGACAAAGCATAGTATTCTACTCACATATAATGAGCTATTATTCACTCAGGTTAATTATGCCACTCGCTACGCTCGTGACATAAACTTAACCTTCGTGAATAATAGCCCTCATTATATGCTCGTATAATAATATACTATTATCTACGCCAGTGAGATAAGAACTTCTTATCCCACTCATTTTGAGTGAGATAAGAAGTTCATTAACGCACGCGTTTTTCTCTGCTTTTAACCAATCAAATAAAAAAGTCAAAATGTCAAAATGTCAAAATAACCCTAAATTAAGTCTTAGACAAAAATAATTACCGTTTATTTTTTCATTTAGAGGCGTAGATAAAAATTTGTACAATATACGTGTGATAACGCTTTATTAACGTACTTTTGCGATTGCCCAACTCGTGCTACGCACTCGTTGGGCAAATTTCGCATGCGTACGTTAATAAAGCTCTTATCCCTCTTATATCGTAAATACCTATTATCTATTTTGCGTTCATAATGACTTGATTGTAACACCGCTTTCGGTACTGTAATAAGGTACTTTACCCCACCCAACATTTTGATTTTATAGGTTGGCTACTTTAAACAGCATACTAGTAAAATAATATTTTGCATATTGGTTATAATATTTTTATGATTTTTCCAGTACTTACAAGACTTTTCTGGCAATAAATTTTGTTTAACACCAAAGAAAATCCTTTTTTTCTTCTTTAACATTAACAGCCGCTTATTGTAAATAAGTAAATTAAGGACGTCATGGCAAAATAGATAAAATAGCATAAAGAACTCATGTCACAAGACCTTTTGTCGCGCTCGCTCCTTCGTCGCTCGTTTTATAAATTGTCCGCGTGCGACAAAAAGACGTCTTATAACATTACACAGAGAAAAGTAATCTCTTGATTTAAGAAAATGCAGTTATTTGAAACAGGTTTTCTTGTATGAAGTAAAATTTTCTTATTCGTAGTAACTTGTTGTTTACAATAAGAAAATACTATTATTTGGTTGTAAATCATAAGTTTCTTAAAAACAACTTATTGTTATGAAGAAATATTTATTTAGAACAATTAATTAAATTGTTTGGCTGTGAGTTTTGTTTCTTTAAGTAAGGTTCTACCAAACCTGACATAAAAAGTCAACTAGATATTTACTTGTATAAACCAAATATCAGTTTAAAAAGTCAAATAAAGTTTTCCACTAAATAAATATCTTCTTGTAGATATCGAAATAAATAATTTATTTGAACCAAGCCAAATATAGTAAAATCAAGAGATTACTTTTCTCTGTTTAGTTCTTTAATATACTATTTCTTTCTTCTCATACTTTATCAAACACTTTTTGTAAGGAAATTGCGATAACTTTATCTCACTTATTGTATTAAATCTTTAATACAATACAATTTAAAGATAAATGAAGCTACAATTTTGTTATTATTAAAATTAAAATCAGACAAATATTTTTCGCGAAACAGCACCTTGGAATTTAAAATTTGTAAAATTTTTATCAAAAACGCGATTTTATTTCGTTAAAAATAGTGTTTTTTAAGGGAATAACTTTATGAATAAGTATAATTTAATTTTTTAGTTAAATTAGGACTCATTAGCTTCATAATCAATGATCCTTGATCAAAGTTTTTAAATAAATATACAGTGTGTCCACGGATGGACTTACTATACTTATATTTATTTTTAATTTTTCGAGGAAAAGTCATTCTTCATAATTTCTTTTGCTTGTTACATAAATCTGATTCGCGTATTTTGTCATACATGGTGAGCAAAATACAGATTTTCAAAGTTAAAAAATTTAAAATATTTTTTTTTTGAAGCGCTAATATAGAGATGTGGTAAGGGGAAATCAAAAAGTCAAATGAGTTTTGAAACCAAGATATTTGATATTTAAAATTAAAGATATTAGTTTTCAAATTTTAACAAATAATTGTAGACATTAATTGATTCATAAGATAGATATTTCTACAAAATAATAGGACCACTCAAGTTAGGACCTGAATCGATTTTATTCTTAGTAACAAGCTCTTCATATTAGATAATATAAATTTATTTTAATTATGTTGAACGTGCATTTTTAATATTACTTACTTGTTTTAAAAACTACAAAACTAGAAAACTGAATACACTATCCGTTAGAGTTCACCATCGACTTGAACGAATAGAAATACAATATTAAATGTAAAAGATTGAGGCAGAGAAAGACGAGGGTCGGGTACGCTTAGTTCTGCATATTACAAGTGCAATTTTTCAGTTAAGCCCATTAAGTAGTTAAATTAGGTGCTACCGGTGAATTCATCCAACAACAACAGAACGATTATTATCCACGAATCTCAACAGTATTTCCCTAACGATAACTGACGTTCATTGCAACAAATGCGCTATTTTCTATAAATAAATACTTACTTGGGGTTTACTGCACAAAAAGAAAAAGTTTCAAATGTACTTTTAATGCTTTTAATTGGTACTCTTATATTAAAGGCATTGTTATCTATGAATAAGTACCATTCTCTATAATTGTGCAGGCTTGTACAGTCGCGGAAAAAACGAATGCACTATTAAAAAACTTAATTTATTTTTAAAATTTAGAAAACGCTTTGTAAATTATTTTAACAATTACAAATTCACGTAAGTTCTTTTAACTATTTTTTTCCAATCGTTAAAGTTGAACTTGTTTCACAAAGCTCTATTTTTGTTTGTTTCGGGTTTCTAAGATTTCCGAAACAAATAGTGTAAATATGTTTTTTTGTTAAAAATTCCAGGATGACTCCCAAAGAAGCCAACTTGCTTTAAGAAAATTGATTTTTAACTTTAGATAATTAAAAAGCAAAACCAAAATAAGTGGCACCCCAGAGTTGTGGCTTAATGATTTCTTTTAGAGGTTTTTCTGTGCTAAGGGTATAAAAGAAATCGAGAAAGGTTAACCCTGCTGAAAAAAACTGATATTTTTTTTATCGATATGAAAACATGAAGTTCAATCATATACAATCATATTCAATCAGATTTCCAAGTTCATATATTGTAAGGTACAATAATTATTATGTATGCGTCAACTGAATCATATTTAATCATAAAAACATGATCGAATTTCAATAATATTTGGTTAAGGGTTTAATTATCAGGTTTGAATGAAAAATTTAGGGTCAATCTTATCAGATCAGAATTGATTAGGTTTTAAACTGGATCTATTTGATATATAATCATAAATATATTTTGCTATCTACTAATAATAATCGATTTTGAGGGACTTTCATTGGCAGGTAAGAGGACTTTTCAGAAGGTAATATGTACAACTTTTTTTTTGACTTTTTAAAATGAATCTTCTTTTAATTGGTACTCTTATATTAAAGGCATTGTTATCTATGAATAAGTACCATTCTCTATAATTGTGCAGGCTTGTACAGTCGCGGAAAAAACGAATGCACTATTAAAAAACTTAATTTATTTTTAAAATTTAGAAAACGCTTTGTAAATTATTTTAACAACTACAAATTCACGTAAGTTCTTTTAACTAATTTTTTCCAATCGTTAAAGTTGAACTTGTTTCACAAAGCTCTATTTTTGTTTGTTTCGGGTTTCTAAGATTTCCGAAACAAATATTAGTGTAAATATGTTTTTTTGTTAAAAATTCCAGGATGACTCCCAAAGAAGCCAACTTGCTTTAAGAAAATTGATTTTTAACTTTAGATAATTAAAAAGCAAAACCAAAATAAGTGGCACCCCAGAGTTGTGGCTTAATGATTTCTTTTAGAGGTTTTTCTGTGCTAAGGGTATAAAAGAAATCGAGAAAGGTTAACCCTGCTGAAAAAAACTGATATTTTTTTATAGATATGAAAACATGAAGTTCAATCATATACAATCATATTCAATCAGATTTCCAAGTTCATATATTGTAAGGTACAATAATTATTATGTATGCGTCAACTGAATCATATTTAATCATAAAAACATGATCGAATTTCAATCATATTTGGTTAAGGGTTTAATTATCAGGTTTGAATGAAAAATTTAGGGTCAATCTTATCAGATCAGAATTGATTAGGTTTTAAACTGGATCTATTTGATATATAATCATAAATATATTTTGCTATCTACTAATAATAATCGATTTTGAGGGACATTCATTGGCAGGTAAGAGGACTTTTCAGAAGGTAATATGTACAACTTTTTTTTTGACTTTTTAAAATAAATCTTCTTTGCCAAAACTGTTGGCATTACAAAAGATGAAACGTAGTAGGTACGAAAGGTGAAACGGGTTTCAAAAGATGAAACGCACATGTCTGCGTCGTATTAGAATATTTAAACAAAATTCACGCAGCAGCATAAATTTAAAAATGGCAGGACAAATTAGCACAGTATTTTAAAATTAAAAAATCGTGGAAAAAATTTGCATAGTAGTTTAATACCTAATTATATTTTTTTAAATATTTAAAATTCGTGACCATAACTTATTTTTGACATCTGTCACCTACTCGATCATTTGTCAATCAATTTTTTTCAGCTGGAAATTATATAAATTATAAAACACAAGGATTGCCATGCTTGACAAAAATAAATAGTTTCAAAGGAATTTAAATTGAAAATAATCGTCCACAACAGTAAAAATAATTTTGAAAACTTTTACCAGAAATGCTTATCAAAACCACCATGGTATGATTCGAACATATTTTTGTGGCTATTTTAAAATTACAAATTATACACGCGATCAAATTTAATGTTTTTTTTTTTAATAATAAATAAATTTAAAAATTGCCCATAATAAATTACGTGCAATAATAACTTCATTTAGACTTAAGTTTAATACAAATTCCTCATACATATGAAATAAATATATTTTTTAATTTGAATTTAAAAGCCAAGAATTTAAGATATGATTATTAATGACGAATTATCAATAAATTACGTTTGAGATTTTGTGCCAAGGTTTACTTACCATGTTGGGGTCAAATGAACTATTAGTATTTTTAGTATTTTATTTTAGTTGCCATATTTTTTTTCTAAATTTAACAAATTGTTGAAACAAAATTTTTGTTCCGTCTTGTTGAGCACACCTTATTTTATTGTTCATACCTAACTTTATCGCGATATTATTTTTACTTTGAAATTTTATTTATCGAATGAGTACCCTCGCTAATGGTCCACTATAGAATATTTTCAAGGGTAAATATGTTAATTGGATCCCATATTATATTTTCAATGCAACTTATGTAACAGCGGTAGTATGTAAATCTTCCTCTTTGTTTTTTTTATTTATTCATTGTGATAGATTGTTTAATACAAATTTGTCTGGTAGACTTAAGGCACAATTTTATGTAGTTAAGTGCACAGTGGGTGAAATAAGAAATATAAGCTTATTCTTGGATTAGAAGCACGTGAGGAATATTTAAATTAATTCATGTTTTTTTACAAATCAAGACTTAATTAAAAAATAATTGTTTGTGTTTTTATTTTTATTTAAGTCATTTACCTATTTCAATAAAGCCTTAAGAATTTTAATCAAGAAAGCAGCAATTTAGAACATTTAAAATAGAATATTTTTGTATTAAATTGTAATTATTTAAACCCATTCAACATCTCGTGATATGGGAGGTAATTTTATTGAACATTTAAAATAACAAGTAAACATGTGACATGCAGCAACTTTTTTTTTATTTGTACGACATTCAAATAAATAATTTAACAGCATATAAAAATATAATATTTGAATAAAATAAAAGCAGATATTATAATAATTATAAATAAAAACAGTAAATTAGACAAAAGCTATTTTTAGTAATCATTATATATTTGTCCTCTGGATTTATGTATATTATTTGGAAATCGCCAAAAAGCTGGCTATTTATCATTTAAGTTTTTGGGGTCACAAAATACGAATTTTAAGTAAAATTTAAAAAATTCAAAATAGGGGACCCAAAATGGTCATCAAATATGGAAAAAGTCTGCTGTTTGGCGCAAAACCTAGTATCCCTTAATATTCAAGGTAGCTAAAAATTACTTTAAAGTTAAATTTACAAAATTAAGATTGGTGGACCCAAAATGGCTGCCATTTATCGTTAACAAGATTCAATTTTGTATCACAAATAAGTAACCGTTAAAAATTTTGGTAACGGTTATTTATTTGTGATACATATATAATAATATTTAACAATATTTTTTCACATCAATTATTTATTAGAGAAAAGTTAATAATACAAAAGTATAAAAAATAATTATATAATAATAATTGTCACCGTTATCCAAATTATTGATAGAATAAATACCAAAGAATAGATTTGATTAAAAAACGTTTACAAGTGGTTAAAATATTGTAACATAATTTTTAATCTTTAGCAGAATTATTATTTGTAACACTTGTTGTTGTCAGTTGATTTACCTCAAATTGTCTTTGCTATTTTTCGTTTCATTGAGCATGCTCAATAAGACGAAAATCGCAAAGACAATTTGAGGTCAATCAACTGACAACTGACAACTGTGCACAGATTCCTCAACAAAATTAGTTTTAACCAGCATTCTAACCCACCCTGCGAAGGGTGGAAAAGCGACAAAGAGTCCTATATATATGTCGCATTTCAACCCTTCGCACCAGAAAATTAGCATTCTAACCCACCGGTGGGTTAGAATGCTAATTTTCTTGTCAAAACTAATTTTGTGACCTTAATAATTGACCTAAAGCCTTTTTTTTTCATTTTATATAGAAAATGCTTTACAAAAAATGTTTTTTATTTTTTTTTTTCGTAAACCTATCCATTCAAAAAATATCTTAGGTCAAATTTTTAACATAATACATTACATATATCTATGTATACAGTTAGGATTTTGAAATGAGTAGTGCATATTTTTGTTGGATATTAACTAATCTACAAAACAGTTTTCTTTTGTTTTTTCGATAAATGTAAGCGTTTCAAAAATAATCTCGCACGCGGAATAATAATAAAATTTGTATGGTCTAGTGCAAGCTCTTAATATGACAAGGGTTTTTTTAAAACTTTCCACTAAATAAATTATAGGTATAAATGTTGTAATGTAATTAATTATATGACAAATAAAAGGTTTTTAAATGTCTCATCCAAAAGGGTTGGATAGTGGAATTAAAAAAAAATTATGTTTTGGAATAAAAGTTTACAACAAAATTAAAAATAGTTAAAAGCTTTTTTTAATTAATAAGAAAGTAAAATTAATATTTTTTACGGTAACTATAGTTATTAAAAAAAGTTAAACTTTAGTTGCGATCATATTATATTATATTATATTACATCAAAAACTAAATAAGAACTTGAAGATAAGTTAATGTTCAACAAAAATTTATTCTACTTATTTTAAAATTCTAACTATTCTTGGAGTGATAACATTTTGAAAAAAAAATGTTTTTTAAAATCCATAAAATTTTGTCCCAAGATATCTTGTGAATATCTTGGTTTACAAAAAAATCATAGGATACCTTTTTAATAGAGCATTCGATTCCCTATCAAAATGTTTATTGGGCTTAGCTTTAAATTCATTTTTTAGTGAGATACAAACTGTTTTTAGATTTTTTGAAACACTTTAAGCCCGCGGTCCGTTCCTACCCCTAACCCGCTTAAGCCATTCAGTTAGATTCTGGGACTTCTTAGAAAGTAAGGAAACTTTTGTAAATACTTTTTTTGTATATGTGGGTGATATGTAATTAATGTTATATATTAAAATGGGTTGTTCCTTAGGGTCCATAAAGAAGCACCTGAAACTTTTTTTTACAAATTCCAAAGACTAAAAATAATTTATAATAACCTTTATCATACCAAAAAGTACCCCACTGATCAAAGAACTTTAGGCTAATCTGGTTGCCTAATTTAATTTATTATGTTATGGTCGGTAACAACAGCGTTTCCAAATTCTGTCAAAAAAGTTGCCAAACATTGTTTAAATTTAGCTTAATTACAAAAATGACAAAATTAACAATGCAAATTGTCAATTTGGCGTTTTTATTAATTGTTGGTTATGTCATTTTTGTGCTTAGGGAATTGCTTTTGGATTTATTTACACAAATTAAATGTTTAAAGTTTAACCTGTGAACTGGTCCCAATTTCATCTGAGTAAACAGAAAGAAAAAAACCGATGAAAAAATTAATTTTGTGGTTATGGATTTTTTAAAATAAGTACTAAATTTTTTAATCATTGCTTAAGCTAATAGCTGGATGAGTAAATAAATACAGACGGGTATTAGAGCTTTAAGGGCATAAAACTTTTGTATTTATTGAGCTATTATTTATTTTTTGCAAGAAAACTTTTTAGTAACAATTTTTTACATCTGGCAACGCGCAGCTACTTTTTTGGTTGGTATCTATGTTCTCACAGAACATAAGTGTGCAGAGATAAACCAAGTGTGTAACCAGTGGCATATCACAAAAAAATATAAAAAACTTATTTAGCATATTTTTTCTTTATATTTTTTAAATATTTTTCCTTTACTCCTTATGTCAAAAGGTATTCAGTATTTTAATATATAACATTACATAACACCCTGTATATATACACACATATATATATATATATATAGGGTGACAATTTTAAAACGAACAGCACTTAGTATTTCTTTAACTGATGACACTATAAAAATTTGGCGAAAACTGTTAAGGTATTTGTTGTTGTATTACATTTAACCCCCTGACCTCCATAGCACCTACCTCTATTCCAATCCCTATTTATTTCACCATTTTTGAAATCCTTATGAAGTTAACTTCAAAACCCAACCGGACTTAATTAAACAACTCCAGCAAAGGATTGTGAAAGAATGTAGGGCTATTTTACCAGAGACAATTCAAAAAGTCCGCGAACAGTTTGAATATCGGCTTACAAAACAATGGAAACCATTTAGAACAATTAATCAAGTAATTATATTATCTTTATTATCACTTTTACGGCGCAACCCCATTTAAACTAACAGTATCTTAATTTATAGACTAAATACATTTCATACATTTTGGCAGAAAATTTAACTTATCTAGAATTCTAGATAAGTTAAATTTTTTGCCAAAATTGAAGTGGTTATAACTGCAAAAGTGCTTTTTAGTTGAATACAAAGCGCCCTCATTCTCGAGCGGCATTATCTGAACTAAAAAGTTTCTATATAAATATATAGGAATTTTAAAGTTTATATATAAAAAATATTCTTATATATAGCAAAAATAATTTACGGACAAACGGCGCCTCATACGAAACTTCTATAAGAGTTACTTTTACGATAGAAACTCGAATTTGTATAAATTTTCGTAAAACTCAAAAATTAAATTGAAATTTTTCGAATTATTCATCAAAAACTGTTAAAATTAGTATGCATTGAAGTTTGACGATGAATATCTTTTAAACGCTTAATTTAATCGACAAATCATAAGAGACCATTTTTGTAGAGCAGTTAATTTCCTACAAAAAAATAAGTTGCGATTCATAAAAATTGTTTGTAAGCGAGTTATAAAATTCATAAGCAAAACAGAAATGTCTCTTAAAATAATTAAACTTTAACCTTCGATATCTTTTAAACGGTGAGGTTTACGAAAAAATTGTAAGATACCTTTTTTGTAGAGCGTTCGATTTCCTACAAGAATATGCGAGATATTTTTTTAACGAACAGTTGTCGAAGAGATATGAATTTTTGTTTCTAATACTGAGGAAAAAATGGAAAATTGTAAAGCGGAGAACCTTGTTATCAAAATTAAGAGCTCATGTTTGGTGAGAATTCTCTAGAGGTGTCTAGTAACCGATTATTCAGAGTACAAAGTAAAAAAAATAGTAGGTTTTTTGGCATACCCTAGTGGACACCTTTTTATATGCGTACAAACTGTTAGGTTACACTCACGTTACACTTCGGTGTGGAACGTAGTTGATTAGAAATTAGTTAAAAACAAACACTTAGTTGGACGTTTAATTTATTCTTTAATAATATCAAACTTAACCAAATATTTAACAAGAAAGTAGATAGGTAGTAGTAGTAGGTAGATGTTGTTCGTTTTAGATGTGTATTGTTTTTGTCTTAAACAAAAAACCAATATGTCCCAAATAAATGTTATGACCGTAAAAAAAAACCAAGTCTAATAGTGATTGGTTGACAGAAAAATCTAAATACAATGTTTAGAAAGTTTAAAATTTTACAGTGTTTTTTAGTAAAAACGGTGATTCATAAAAATCGAAGTTATAATTTAGGTGCCCTCACAAATTGACTTTCCAATAGATCACATCAAATCAAATCATCTTTATTGTTAACATTTTTTAAATTTCTCTAAAATAACATTAGGGGATTGGCCTAAACTTGCGCGCTTGTGTGCGAATCAAAGCCTTAAATAAAACTAATCTTAATCTTATATTGACATTTAAAAACAAAATAATAATAGAATATATAACAGAGATATACTGGGGAAGAAGAAAAATATAGAGCGACTTAGATTTATATGCAATAAACACATAAATAACATTAAAATGGATATACCCTGGGCAAGTATGTCTTGCGATTTTTATGATGGTTTAGAAATGGTTAACACGTGTACGATATAAAAACTCTACCCTATCCTTGAAATGTTCAAACAATATAGAGCAATATTTTTAAGTCTGCAACTTGAAATAAATTTCTAAGAAATATAAAACAACCTAAATTAATATGATTTCCCGTAATCTTGGACCTAACACAAACCATCAAACTTTTCCAGAATTTTTCGAGATATCGCACGACCTGGCGGTAATTGTGATAGTGTGATATCATCTAGATATTCAAATAATATCCCTCTTGAAAATCGCTCCAATTTTATCCACTCCTCAGTAAGTGGTGTTGGTGGATCTTCATTCAGCACTTTAATAGCACCTTCTTATTTAAATATTTCAGTTAGTCTAAACTTCCACATTAAATAGTTTTCACCATTAAACAATTTAAGGTTTTGCTTCATCAGAGTTGACACGCCACTGGCCATTGTTTTTATTTTATTTAAAACTCGATTTATAGTAAATACACAATCACTTCCAATCACATACGGTGTCTAAGCCCGTAACCTATTAGTAGGTATGGTGGATCTAAGTAAAACTCGTTGATTGAAACTTTATCTTTTTAACATTATTTAAGAGCCGTAATTTGTATGTCTTGGACTGACTACTTTAAAAATTAGCTGATTAATTAATACAAAGATCGTCACATAAAAAATAACTTCCTCAGCCCTAGAAGGCTAATATGCTCTAGACTAAACAATTATAATAAAATAAAATAAAACATTATTTTTAAAATAAAACCAACAAATTGGGGGGATACAATATTTTTAAACAAGAGCAAAAAAATAAAATGTTGCTCTTATTAGAAATAGCCTTATGCAATCAATAAATTTAAATAGGCATTAAATCAAACAAATTTGTGCACTTCTTACCAACACTGTATATTTATCTCTATATTTACTAATTAAATACTTATAAAAATACAGTTTAAATTTATTGTTTAATATAAATGTTATATAAGTTTCTTATATAAAAATTCAATAAATACGAAAAAGGTTACTCCTCTTTTTATCAATAAATAAGGCATGCACGTTTAATAAAATAGCATCGAATAAAATCCGTATGCTTATTGAACAACGAATACCTGTTTATTTAATTTTGTAATGAATAGTGGAGGTCATATTAAAAGGTAATTCAGACTTTTTCTATAACACCGGCAGATAGTACATCCAAACTATTGATATCGGCTACACCGTTACTGTCATGTGATTCGTGAAATAAATATCGCAATTTTTTTGACATCATTAATCAAGTGTATATTAATTAATTTGAAAAGTTACATATTTTGGAATGACATTTGAACAGTTACTGTATATTTGGTTAATTCTTTATTAATCAATTCTAATAGTAGGTATTTTTATTTTTAGGTTTAAATAATGGGTAGAGGAGGAGTGGGTTTCCACTCTAGCAGAGCTGAATTTTTGACCGATGATGCCTTAAATAATGACCTTAAGTACAGTAGAAATGGGGGATGTTTTGTGACGACAAAAAAGGCGATAGCCTTTGTGGTTTTTGCAGTTGTCTCGCTGGCCATAGTTATAATGCTTATGTATTATTATGGGCCCAATAGGAAACTTGAAGAAGTAAGTTAATGATTTGTAATTGATAATTTGTAGTACAGTATTTTATGTCCATAAATTAATTATAGTTATTCCAAGAAATATTTTAAAAAATATGTTTAATAAGACTATGACCTTCACATAACAACCAAAAGTTTTTTATGTAAATTAATAGAAGTTAAATTTAGAGGTTTAAGCACATTTGAAATAGTATGCAGAACGGTGGGGTTATTTTTGAACAGTCCAAATTATTTTTCTAATACTTTTCTTAAAATCATAATAATTAATAAAAAATTATCAAACTTCGATATAAAACATCGAAAATCATTTTTTCCGAATTTTCAAAATCATACCTACCCTGTTAAGAGTATTTGAATATACATACTAAATATCGAAGAAAAAAAAACTTTTAACTGGGTAGGTACGTATAAGTTCTGCAAGTTTAATAATTGTTTATTATGTTTTTAACAAAAAAGTGAATGAAAGGCTAAAATATACATGTATTTCATATTAAAAATTTTAAATGCTCTGCGGCATGTGTTATTGTTAATCGATTTCGATAAAATTTTACACACATTTTTTATATAAGTATATCATCAGTGATCAATTTTTAGGCCGGAGGGGGATATAATTCGGACTTTTCAAAAATATGACCAACCCTAATATATATACTATAGTACCATATTTATGAGTCAATTTGATTTTTTTTTGCCAATAATTTTACTAGTGGTCATTACAAAGTAACACCTAGATTTTTTATCCGCTTACAATAATTTGTAGTGATATTTTATATATTTACTTTTATTCATTGTTTATTTTTTAAATTATTGTCAATTTGTCTGTTAAAAGTGGATTTCACCTTTAAAACGCCCATTATCGTATACAGGGTGTCCGGAAAAAGGAGGTCAATCCGTTAACCATATACTCCTTGAGTTAAAACAATAAGACTTTTATAATACCATTTTTCAATTTAGAGTTTCATGTTAGATATACAGGGCGACAAAGTTTGAAATTTAAAACTGATTTTTTTAATAATTCGAGTAATTGATAAGATATTAAGTTCAAATTCGGTAAACTTCTTTAACATAAATAGTTACATCTTTTGAGAACAACAAAACCAAAAACAATTGTCAAATAAACAAAATAGGGGGGGTCCAGTACTCACTGACTCCCCTTATTTTTTAGTACGTGCGCCAATGACTTCCAAACTTTATTTTTTCAAGTAATCATTTATTGGTGATTATTTTTTTCTCTTATAAAATTTTGATAAACTGATTTGTTTTAGAGATAATGTGTAAAGTATTGGTCCTTGATTGATGCCTAAGCGGCTTAAGGCAATCTCATAATTTTCAAATACTCTAAATCAAGTGAGCCGCTGTCGCATTATCATTGATACAATTAAGTAAAATTTTGCAATAGGTAACAATACCAAAAACTAGCCAAAAATAACCCAATTTCAGTGACACACAGATAAAAATAATACTAAACCAGAAAAATTAAATTAATTTTATTGCCCTAGGAAGAACTTACAATAATTACTAATTTTCTTTACATAACAGTAAAACGCCACTATTATCGGTAGTTCATAAGTCAATAATTGTTGATAGTTGTCAAATGTCATACAATCGTTAAAATAAAGTGCCCTTGTAAAATAATACTATATTTAAAAATTATTTTATTATCTCAATACAAAAGTATTAAAAGTTTCATAAAGCCAATAATTGAAAAGTTTTTATGAACATTGTACTAACCAGTGAAGAAAATGTTTTATCTAGTCTCCATCCGACATAAAGTTAAATCTAGTTAAATTGCCTGCAGTAAACTAGATTTAACTTAATTTCGGGTGGAGACTCCATAAAACATTTTCTTCACTTTCACTGTAAAAAACTGTTGTTAGCCCATTTTCAAGGAATACATTTTGATTTACACATACAAATTTGACATTTTCACCGGCGCGCCTGTAATACAGATTCCCAAGAATGGTTACTCTATTGTTTTATAGATGTCGCTCTATTTAAATATTTAATTTAAATTATTTTTAGATAATCATTAGTATTTGTCGTAGAAAAAGTACAGTATATAACTCGTTCATACATTTTCTAAACACTCATTTAATTAAAAACCCGCTCGAAAGCTCGGCCGTTCCTAATTAAAATTCGAGACTAAAATGGCATTTATTAACCTTGATACTTAATATACTAGTTTCTTAAAAGTAACTGTTTAGCCTCAGGTTATTTTAATTACTTTTGATTGGCAAAAACACGAAATTATTTACAATAAATCTGTGCTAACATTACCTTTAAATATACCATTAAAAATGCATACCACGTTAATTTTTCCTGTAATAACCATTAGTATTATTTTTGGCATTAGTAATTGCTAATTATTCAGTCTGGCATTTAAATTTATGTTTTAATTGTTTTAAAACCTTAAAGAATTCCGGTTATATCAACCATAAATAAACAATGGCAAGTTCTCCCATAATTTAATATTAATATTGTAGATGACCAATAAAAAAAATATTCGTAATAATTAAAATGTTTTCAAAATTAAACATTATTAAAATAAAATTAAGTTATAATTTATAACATATCAAGGGGGAGAACTGGTGAGGTATTTGTTGTTGTATTACATTTAACCCCATGACCTCCAGAGCACCTACCCCTAAAATTTTAAATAGGAAACCCTATTTACTTTGCCATTTTTGAAATCCTTATGTAATTCTATTTAGGTAAGTTACATTTCTTTTTAATTTATTTTTATCAAAATTGAAGTGGATTACCTCACGAATGTATGGAATGTATTAAATTTTAATCCATAAATTAAAATAAGTTTTCAAACGGTTGCGTTTACTGTGCCGTCACAGCCATTCATTTTAATATTTATTGTGAAACTACGTTTAAAATGCCTACCTTTTTTAAATTTTTTAATTAAAAACACTTTTTTTGTGCATTTTTTTTATTTTCTTATATCTGACATAATTTAGAAGTGATAAGTGCAGTTCGTATTTTCGTACGACCGGTGTAAATTTATTAATTTGATTTTCCGAATCGATTAGTAAAAATAGGCTATAGTAGTTGGGTGTTTTTGTATCCTTTTCTTAAAATGGTTTACTATAATGGTGCACTATTGCAAAACGCGTTAAAATGATTTTAATTTATGGAGCGAAAAACCGTTGCTTCGTAACAACGGCGGTCATATTTAATGATCGAAATGTTAGACACAAGTACATCAGAGATTCAGTAGGTAAATTTGAAGAAACAGTATCTGTTTGCAATAAGAATTGCTATGGCTCCAACTATGTCGCTTCGTCAATCTGCAGAACAAACTGGACTGTCGCGTGAATCAGTCAGAAAAGTATTGAAGCTTCACAAATTTCACCCATACAAGCTACAAATTACTCAAGAATTAGGGGATGATGACCCGGACAGACCTATTAAGTTTTGCGAAATTATGACTAACAGGATTATTGCTCAGCCCCAGTTTATAAAAATATCTGTTTCAGTGATGAGTGCACCTTCTACTTAAATGACAAGGTGAACAAACAAAACAGCCGTTATTGGAGCGACCTCAATCCTCACATTAGTAGAGAGGGACATATACAATATCTTCGAAAAATAAATGTTTGGGTGGGCATATTAGGCGATTCTACCATTGGTCCTTTGTTCATAAATGGAAATTTAAATGGTGAAATGTATGCGGAAATGTTAGACAGAAGAATTGAGTCTCGTAAAATTCATGATATGAAAAATGAAAGAGACGTCGATGGAAATCTTGTTTTCCATAAACATTTGCTTTCAGCAGGACGGAGCACCTACGTCCACTAAAAGAGTGGTTGGATAATCATAATCCAGAGCAATGGATTTGTAGGTGGGGACACCTAGGTCACCAGACCTGACACCGCTCGATTTATGTCTATGGGGTCATTTGAAATCCATTGTATTCAAAACCCAACCGGACTCAATTGAACAACTCCAACAAAGGATTGTGCAAGAATGTAGGGCTATTTTACCAGAGACACTTTAAAACGTACACGTACTTGTGCTTACAAAACAATGGAAACCATTTTGAACAATTATTAAAGTAATTATCTTTATTATAACTTTCAGGGCGGAACCCCATTAAAACTAGCAGTATTTTAATGTATAGACTAATACATTCCATACATTTGTGAGGTTATAACCACTTTAATTTTGGCAAAAAAATTTAACTTATAATAATCTAAAATTACATAAGGATCTCAAAAATCTGAAATAAATAGGGGTTTTAAATTTTAGTACTACCACTGATTAAGGTAATAGTTAATAGTAATACTTCTAAAATCCTAAAGTTGAGACTATAGTAAGATCGATTAACAAAACTTTTACTACCTAGTTTAGAAAGTGGGTCTTTGATGTATTTATTTTTATAATCATATAAGCAAATAACAACAAAAAATGTCACATAGCTATATTAATTAATTAATTACCTTGAAATTTTAATACGAATATGCTGATAAATGTTGCTTATTTGGTCCACACACCATTACTTTTTTTATAGTGTTGGTGGTTTTAAAAACCATTATTTATAAGTCGTAAATGCCCCTTGTATAATTTAATGTTTACACCATATTGCATGGTTTCGACTATAATTTATACTTCATTGAAATTCCTTGTGTGATTTATAATTTTCTATAATTTAAATCTATGTATGTTTTTACAGTTACAAACGGAATCAAATGACATTGAAAAATTAATTAACAAAACGATACAAGAAAAATTACCCGAAGAAGAAATAAGATTACCGAAAACTATTTACCCTCTAGACTATAGATTATGGATTCATCCTATTTTAGATGAACAAACTGAAAACAATTTTACATTTACTGGACAAGTGCAAGTTTTGGTAAACTGCACTAGGAAAACCAACAAAATTATATTAAACATTGACGATTTAAATATAACTGAATCAGATATAGCCGTTTACACGACCAAAATCGTTACTTATAATTCTGAAGAATATAAAGTAATGAATGATGATTTACATAGATTAAGAAGGGATACAGGTGAATTAGTTGAAAAAAGCGTTGTGGAAAATGAAGATAAAATACCTAATAGCGAAACGATGCATACAACAAGCGAAAATCCAGAAATTGAAACTGAAAATGCTACAATTGAAAATATGACAGAAACCACCACAGAAGAAATTACTACAACAACTGAAGTTGTAGTGCAGAGGGAAAGGATTAACTTAACTATTCAAGATATCGTTAAGGACGAGGAAAATTTTAAACTTACGATTATTATGATGTACTTATTAGAGCCTGGACATACCTATACAGTGGACATTAAATTTTCAGGAGATATTTTAAATAATCTAAAAGGATTATATAAGACAAGTTATACGGATCTTGAAGGAAATACTAGGTAAGCAATGTACCTTTATTTTATAGTCATTATAATGATATATCATTAAATTATAAAGTGGTAAATTATTTAGCTAAATAATCTCGTATTTTTATTCGCCATATTTAAAAGGTTTAACATTAAGTTTTTTTGATTAGACTTTAAAACTGTCAAAAATCAAAAATCAAAGTTCAACTACTATAAAAATTATTTTTTCTACTCTCATTATGGAATATGACCGTTCCAATATCACTTTTATCTATGGAATGACATTTATTCCGTTAAGTGTTACAGAATGAAATATCATCTGATGACAGAATAAACACTCGTGGCGACATCTCTGTTTTTAATATCTAACAAGTTTTAGACCCAACCTTACTTTTTTCCAATTAAATTATTTTTCTATGGTATTTTTTGGAAACGTAGAAAAAGTATAGTCTGAAACACGTTTGGAATTGCATATTCCCCTTTCGTGAAACTTTTCACTCGAGCGGAATATGCCGTATTCCAAACTTGTTACAGAATATGCTATTATATTCTAATCAAATGGACAAGTCGAAAATGTCGAATCCGTAAAAGTGCTGAGCTCGAAGTTTACAATTAAGCAAAGCACAAAACGACACTTATTGGCCAAATGGCTACAATATTTTATTTGTTAAACTAAACATAAAACTTACAATTATAATTCTTCTTCTTCTTCTTCTTTGATCTGAAAAACGGCTCCGTTTCTTCAGGGGGGTGGCCTTTAGCTTAGTTAAAAACTATTTGACCAACTCATTTACAATTATAATTATAATTATTAAAAGTACAAAGTAAGGTCAAATAGGTATCTATATTTTTTTCATATAAGATCTTAGTAGGTACGTAAATGTGTGATAACATTTAGATACTTATATATTTATTTTTGGCCGAAATAAGATCGCATCCTAAGGATCATTCTCTCACCCATGAAGAAAATAGAGCAAAAATTTGTCTTATGTGTTTGCAGAAGAGAAAAAAAATGTATACGATATGTGACAAATTAAAAGAAAAAATAGCTAGCGTGACTACACATACACTGTTTAAAATATCTGTGGTGTAAAAAGTAATCTTAAAATGGTGTCAAAATCCAACACCAAGTGGTGTTAATATAACACTATGAATTATGGTTGAAAATGTGTACCGATCGCGGCAAAGGCGGTGTGGATCACGTGATGTTCTTAAATCTCTCCTCTGTTGACTTACATGAAGAATATATAAACTCAGGTGATCATTTGCTTTGGTGTGACACTTCAAGTTGTTCAATACTAAAGAGACCTTAAATAGGTGGAAACAGCTGTCAATACTTGAAGTATTTTAAGTTAGTGGAACGTACTAAAAACATTATCTCTAGCGAGTTGAAGGTTCAATTTTCTGGAATAATACCACTGGTAATATACTAGTAATGCGTCAAGGAACTTCCTGTTTCCTTTTTTTTTCCTTTTTTCTGTGTAGTATGATTTAATTTGACCACAAACACATAATATTTAACACTGAAAAGGAGTTCAATTTACACCAGGTAAAATTTATTTTAATACTGTGTGAAAGTTAAATTAACACCATTTTAGTATTTGAATTAACACCGGGTCAATGGACCACATTTAACACCATTTTGGTTTGTATCGATATAGACCATGTATGGTGTTAATTTGGTGTTAAAATGTTCATGAAATTTTGAACAGTGTACAATCTAGTTGAGTAACAATGTGCTACCATCGGCACTTAGTGACCAAAAAAAGAAACTTGATAGAACTTGTTTGACGCTAAGACTATCGATTTTTCAAAATGTAAGAAACTTGATGAATCAGTTGTTCCGGAAACACCCAACCTAGAAGCTTTCTTTATCTGTTCTTAATAAAGACAAGCACCTTTCTGCTCAAAATCATCAAAAGCGTGTAAAATATTGCAATAACGTAGATGTACGATTCAAAGTTTATCTCAGGATACAGAGGAAAATTACGCAAATGTTGCTAAACTTTGGACTTTATTAAGGTTAAATGATAATTTTGTTGGCACTATTGCTACTGACCTGAAATTGGCAAATGTGATATTTGGTCTACACAGTGTCCCTTAGCAAAAAATAGGTATTTCAAAAATGTCAACGAAAACCCTTTATATATTTCTTTTATGGACTATCTGGCGGAACCAAAACTAGTGTTGGTTAAATCAAAGCTGATCGGAAAACAATCTGTTGGTATTTTTCTTACTGTTTTACCAAAATTCAAGTTTTTAAAACTGGTTAAGAATAACTGTAAAAAAGGTGGAAAGTGACAATACAATAAAGTAGGCTAGTGTCAAAATGACATCTTGAATGTTCGAAACCGTCATTTAAAATCCAGCAAGAAAAAATCATATACAAAGACTATTAAAATTAATATTTAAATTAATAATGCCGAAAGAAGCGGACCATGAAGAAAATCGACGAAAAGTGTGTATATTGTGTGGTTCTAAAATCGTATTTGGGAAGTCCAAAGCGTCAGTGTTTAACTTGACAGAAAAATTGCACAAGCTTATTTGTAAGTATTCGGATGCGCATAAATTTGATAAAAACGACTCAAGATATCCCACGTCTATTTGTGGAAATTGTCGCCTTGTTCTCTTTGATAGAGAAAAAAATGTGTTCAAGAGAAATTTCCCCGTGACTCCGCAATTTGACAAAATAGTCTTGCATGCTAAAACTAGAAACACCACCCGAATATGCAAGTGTTTTCTGTGTCAAACAGCTAGACACAAAGGCCACAAAAGTTCTTCAGTAGTAAAAGTAGGAATCATGGGCCATAAGGTAAGAAATCAAAAGCAAAAATCCGAGCCAATATGTCAAATTTGCTTTCAAAAAACCGGAAAAGGAATTAGGCACAAATGTTCTCAAACGTATGCTCATCGAAATGTTAAGGACATTGTAGAAAAACTCCCAAAAAAACAAAAAGAGCATGTTGTAGTGTCTTCGTTGAAATCCTGCATTGATGATCAAGCAGCCAATTGTGGAACATCTACAAGCAGCAGCAGGTACCAAAACGCAGAAATAAAATTATCCACATGCGGTTCAATTGCTAGGATTGTTATTAATCCGAAAATGGCTAAAGACGCATTTTTTTCTGAAAATAATTTAGACAATTTCCAATCAAACACAAGTTCTTCTTTAAACCAAATGGAAACCTTAACAAACTTTATTAGGTCATGCGCAGGAAAAAATGCGGTTCCGGCTAAATATCGTCTTCATGCAAGTGCAAATTCAAAAATGTTAAGCAGTTTTTATAAACATGGTTTATACGAATTTGACATCAATGAAAAGAGGGAAAAACAAAATCGGGCTATAGTGTGGGCAGATGCTCAAGAACTGGTTAAGGCTGTTATTGAAAAAAGGAACTATATTGGAAAACCTGAAACTAAAGTTATGGCTGATGGAGGGCAAGGTTTTTTTAAAATTTGTTTGACGATTTTACCGGAAAATTACTCCTCTGTGTTAAATAAAGGTTTAGCTGGAAACCAAGAAATAGTAGAAGACGAACTAAATGCAATGGATCAAGGTAAACGATCTACATATGCAGAAGGAGGAAGGTCAGGAAAAAGAGGAAAACTAAGTGGAGTAAAAAGATTAATAATTTTATTTTAAAGAAAGTTACGACAATATTAAATTTCTATTTGATCTTACACAAATAAACAAAATTTCCTTCAAGTTTGTTTCGGACCTAAAGGTGACCCTCCTCGTCAATAGATTTCAGACAGCAACTGCAACGTACCCGTGTCCTTATTGCTATGTATCACTACACGAACTAAGGTTTCAAGATAAACCCACAAATGTTGAAGATCCCACGATGTGTTTAAGAACTTATGGAGACGTTAACAAGCATTTCGATAAATTTTATTCTCTAGGCAAAAATAAAAAAGTCGCTAAAGAATGTTTTAGCACCGTAAATGTACCTATGTTTGAGGAAGAAGATAAGACCTTTATTATTCAAAAATGTATTGTACCAGAATTGCACATTTTGCAAGGCTTTGTAAATCACCTATTTTGGGATGGACTAGTACCACTCGTGGGAAGAGAAGAAGCCCTTAATTGGCCAAAAAAACTAGGACTTATATCAAAAAACTATCAGGGTGAAATTTTTGAAGGAAATGCATGCCGAAAGCTTTTAAAGAATTCTGATTGTATTCTCGATATTAAGGTCATTCGTGAAAAAGTTAGCCCTTTACAAATTGTTCCAATAATATCAGCATTAAAGGCAATGAACAAAGTTGTTGAAGATTGTTTTTCTAGTCGCGTTGGTCAGGAACTCAAGAAGAACATTGTCCATTTAAGAAAAACCTTTAAAGCCACTGGAATTTCGGAAACTTTAAAAATCCACATCGCTCTTTATCATCTTGAAGAATGCCTAAGCTATCTTAACGATCGGGGTCTTGGATTATGGTCAGAACAGGCGGGAGAATCTCTTCATCGAGAGTTATTAAAATCATGGAGCAGATATAAATTAAACAATGTTAACGACCTTAGATACGGTGATTTTTTGTTAAAAGCAGTTGTAGAGTTTTCTTCTACACATTTGTAATTGTAAGTTGTGTTAAATTTTGTTATTTTTTTATTCAATTAAACGATTCTGAAACCTTAATTTAATTTCTTATTTATCAAAGGTACTATAATATCATCAGCATGAATAAAGAGATAGCAAGAAAATAATATTCATATTTAAAATAAATTATAAGGTTTATATCCGATCAGCTTTGATTTAACCGAACTTTGTTTTGGTGCTGCCAAATAGTCCACAATAAGTATCCATAAAGAGATTTCGTTGACATTTTTAAAATACCTATTTTTTTCTAAGGGACACTGTGTCTAATGTCTCATTTAAGCTGTTATCCCTGCACATGGTGTTTTTCACACAAAAATAGTCTGGAGTCTTCTGCAACTTTAAGAAACTTCTATACTTGTATAGAAAATTCTGTGAAATATTTTAATAGCTGGGTTGCATCTGGGTCCAAAAAAGATGAAGCAAAGAATTATATGAACTGTGTGAATCCTCCTCTTCTTGCAGGAGAAGCCCATGACACTCTATTTTTAGACGTATATCCCCCTCCAGAATTACATTTATTGCTGGGCGTTGTTAATACTCTCGTGAAACATATGATGCTAAATTTCTCAGAGGATGCAGAAAAATGGATTAAAGCTTGTAATGTTCAGAGAGATCTAACTCACAGAGGCCCTTCATTCAAAGGCAATTCATGCAACAATCTTCTAAAAAAAATTGATATTTTAAGATCATTATGCTGCATGGGCTGTCTTAAATATGTACACACATTCACATGTTTTGCAAAAGTTGTCGATTGCTGTTTTGGCGAAAGCCTTGAGCAAGAATATGTACCTACAACGTATTTCAGAATTTAAAAGAACGTATATGGCGCTGAATATTCCAGTAACTCCGAAAGTACATGCAGTCTTTTTTCATGTCCAGCAATGTTGTGAAAAAGAAAATCTGGTTTTGGACTTTATAGTGAGCAAGCTGTGGAATCTCTTCACCATGATTTTGCTCAGATTTGGTCTAAATGTAAAGTTAGCAGAAATAATAAACTTTACGCAAACAGACTTTTGAAAGCTGTCCTGGAATATAACAGCAATCACATATAACTAATCTAGTATTAATTTTTATTGTTTTATGGTTTGTTTTTATTTAAACAGTATGCTTAAATATTAAATATTAAAAAAGTTTACTTTTGCATTTGTATTTTTGTTACATCTAACAAAGAACCCATATTATTCCCAATAGTTTGCTTATATGTTCACTTTTTGGATTTTTATTAAAAACGGCTCTAAGGATTATTTAATTTTTTTGTTTACTATTTAGTTTAGGCCTATAAAACATATTAAAACAAGAAAAAAGTTAGGTGCTCGACTTTTGATTTAAAGTGGTTCAGGCGTACCGTGTGCTGTATATTGACTTGCTCCAGAGAAAAAACATAAATGTAAAACTTGCTGAAACCCCTTGTTACTTAAATGGAAAATTTATCGTCTTTATGGCACGGTTTAGAAAATTTTTTTTGCTTTAGTAGGTAAACTATTTAACACATTGTATTTATTTTACCAACAATTTATATCCTTTATACATCATTTTGCCCCCCTAGCCGATTGGCTGGCTACGTCCTTCAGCATACGTATTTGTCAAGCCCATATAGAATTGTAAATTCAACAAAATGTTTGGCGACATCCTGAAAGCAGCTCGCTTTTTTCCTTTGTATAGATATTAATATTAATAAATGCCTGTTTAAAAAGAGGTTTATAAACCTCTTCTTAAACCGGCCAAACGCAGGCTAGGTGTTTAGGGTCCCTTTTCTATATTTTGTCATTGTCTTCATTCATTGCATTTTTAATGTTTTAATGGATAAAACATTAAAAAATTATGCTTGTAGCAAGTAAATCGATAGTTGGTACGTCAGAATCAATTTAAAACTAAAAATTGATATTTTTTGACCTTTTTTTAAAAAAGACTCTCCTGAAAATTTTGCTTGTGTAATTAAGGGTTTGTTTTTCCATGACCGGACAAACTTTTTTTTACTTTTTTTTTATTTTTTAGCTTTTTTTTAACGCTGAGAATATACACGTATAATAAATTCCCTGATTGTTCGTTTCCTAACTTCAACCCGTGGGCGAAATAGCATTTTGCCAACATGCTGAAGTAAGCTTTAAGTTAAATTTGTTAAAAATTAACTGCTTGACAGTTGTCAGATGTCCGATACAATTTTAATAAAATTAAATTCCTTGCAATACTTAAATAGAATATTGTGCGCGACTATTTTGCCCTGCTAAGCAAAACTTATTTTTTTGATTGGTTTTAACAATTAAAATAATTTTTTGTCCTTCATAACTTAATATTGTACATACGGCAGGCTTGCTTAGCAGGGCAGTATTGGTCAAAAGAGAAGATTTCACTCGCGCTTAAGATATCTCCTCTTTCTTCCACTAGTGGCACTAGTGGGCCACTAGTAGTGGCAAAATATACTACAGGTAACATTCGTGATGCAGGTTTAATTCACAATGGGCGCACGCTGTGAATCTTTAAAAATTAATGCACCGTGAATTCACTGTGATGTATCGTTTTTTATTTATAAATATTATACCTACCTTATATTTAAAGTACGAAATGTAAATAATTTAAGATAACTTTAATCCTGAATGTTAGAAAATCCTATTGCGCATTCACTTCGAGCTTTACGTGTGCATTCATAGTGCACTATGAATTTAAGGGGCGGACGCATCTTTTAGCAACCGTGCATTTACGGTGAATTCACGAATGTTATCTTAAATATTTTTAATTTTATTAACTTTCATATATTTTATTTTAGATGGTTGGCCACTACTCATTTTCAATCTGTATTCGCTAGAAGAGTGTTTCCTTGTTTTGATGAACCTTACTTTAAATCAACATTTGAAATAAGCATAGCACACAGGACAAATATGACGGCTTTATCAAATATGCCCCTCAGAACTATGGAGCCTAAGTAATGTAAAATACTAAAACACAAAAAACACAAATTCATATATTTTTTTTTATAGAAACGACACTCAATTGGGTTGGACTTGGTCTCACTTTATGAAATCTCCACCAATGTCCACTTATATCGTAGGATTTACCATAAGTGATTTTGAAAGTAATGGAAACGTTTCAAAAGATTTTGGGCCCATCATTAAGGTCTGGGCACCTAAAGACGATTTAGTCAAAACTAAGTACGCCTTGGAAGTTGCAGAAGAAATTTTACCCTTTTTAGAAAAATATTTTGGTATTAAGTATCCTTTACCCAAACTAGACTTACTGGCAATACCTAATTTCGGTAAAGGGGCGATGGAGAATTGGGGCCTGATATCATTTAGAAAATCAGCACTTCTTTTTGATCCAGACTCCAGAAGCATCAAGACAAAAAGTTTTATATTTAATAAAATAGCCCATGAGTTGGCCCATCAATGGTTTGGAAACTTGGTTACTTTAGAATGGTGGTCTGAATTATGGCTAAATGAAGGTCTTGCTACATTTATATCTGAGGTTGTTTTGACAAATGTAAGTATGGTAACATTAATTATAAAATAAAAAATCTAAACAAAATATATTTAGTTAAGGCCCAGATGGCAACTATACAGTAGTCTTCAACTAAGGGATACATATAAAACTTTATATTTCGACAGTTTAAAGTCTACTCATAGTATACAAACTAGCATAAAAAGTACTGCTGAAATAGAGCAAATTTTTGAACCTAGGATATATCAAAAAGGATGTTCCATAATGAGAATGTTGAACCACACATTAACAAAAGATGTTTTTACCAAAGGATTGCAAGATTTTATTAGAAAATAGTAAGTGCATTTACTTTTTCTATTGCATAGTAATAAAATGATTGTTTTTAGTGCATATAGCTCAGCAAGTCAGGACGATCTTTGGGAAATATTCACTATAACAGCAAGAAATGAAAGTATTATACCTGAAAATGTAACAGTAAAGGATTTAATGGACTCATGGACCAAACAAAGTGGTTTCCCTCTGGTGACTGTTACAAGAAACTACTCCAGTGAAATAGCTAAACTTAATCAAACAAAAATGGCTGAAGATAATATTCCATCTGAATCTTTATGGTTTATACCAGTAACTTATATAACTAGTGATGAGGATAATGTTACTAAAAGTATATGGGTGGAAAATGTACGGGAAATAGATCTAAATCTCACTAGCTCCGATAATAATTCTTGGGTGCTTTTAAATATAGATGAAACAGGTTTCTATAGGGTTAATTACGATCTATACAATTGGAAGTTACTAAAAAATCAATTACTAAGAAATCCACAAAGAATTCCAGTTTATAATAGAGGTCAATTAATAGATGATGCCTTCCATTTATCCAATATGGGTTCCTTAAACTATACTATAGCTTTTGAGCTCACAAAATATTTAAATATTAAAGAACAAAACTACATTCCATGGTACAGCGCTCTAAGAAGCATGGAAGAATTAAGAATAATTATAACAAACTACGAATACACAGGATTGTACGATAACTATTTACTTAAATTAACAGGACCAATGTATGAAGAATTAGGACCAAAAGACAGACCATACGATACCCAAAATGAAAAATTACTTAGATTGCACTTGGTTCAATCTGTTTGTAAATTGGGATACCCACGTTGCGTAAACTGGGCTAGAGCACAATATGACAACTGGATGAGTCTAAGAAGCCCTGACGAACTAAATCCGTATATATTTTAATTTGATGAACATTATACTCATTACTTACTTAATTAATTTTTAGTATACCTGTAGATTATCGATTTATTACGCAATGTGTAGCCATAAAACACGGTGGCATAACTGAATGGGACTTTCTTTGGAACAGAACCCTATCGGCTGCTATTGAACCTGTTGATCTTGCTAAAGCCTATCTTAGTTTAGGTTGCACCAATGATCCATGGCTTATTAACAGGTATTTTTTTATAATTTTAATAATAATATTATTATTACCAATGCAATGTAATATTAGCAGGGCTTATGTAGCGTACTGACCAGTAAGCACCTTGATCTTAAATTATAAATTGTTCTATATCATTTCTTGATAGAGTTCTAGATTTTTTCAACATTCTTTTTCTTAATAAAGGCGATCACTTTATAATATGTGCTTATATCCAAATTTTGTTTTAATTTTAACATAGATTTTAACATTGAGTATCTGGATCATAACGTTGATGGTCTTTAAAAGGTCGAAAAAATTATTTTTCTTAAAATTGTTTATTTTTTTTCGCACCATTTACAAAATGTTTGAAACTCTTTAGCATACCGAAATTTTGATTTTTCTGGTAAAAGTTCAATGTTTACATATTTGGCTTCTTTAAGAATGTCTTTCCGTACTCCATCAATAATATTTTCCCCAATTTCTTTCTCCATTTCCATTTTATATTAAAAATGTGCTCGGATAAAAGTCTAATTTTAGTTTGAAGTATATTCTTATAACTTTAGTTCATAGCAACGACGTATTGTTGATGTATTGTTTCCTGCGTCAGTGCGGAAAAAACTTTCAGTACTAGTACTTTCAGAACGCATATGAGTTCAGAAAGTAGTTACTTTCCACACGCTTGTAGAAAACATATTTTTAATCATTCTCCCCTATTTTACAAATTTTAAAACTCGCCAGAGTATCTATAATTAAGTTGGACGGGTCCCTGAAATTCTGATTAAGAATTTTTGAAAACCAGGATGTGTCTCGCAGGACGATTGCCAAATGTAAACAAGGTGTATGAATTTACCGAAAAGTGGAAAATTCTGTAAAGTTTTCTCCTTACACCATGGGTTCGTTTAAAACAAGTTTTATGAAAAATTAATAAATGAACTATTTTGTGACTTTGGCTCGTGATCGTCTTACCCAAATTTAGAACTCTATGTTGTGTTTACTTACTGTTTTATTAAAAACATTGCTTTAAGAATCATACTTGGGAAAATTAGGTATACAAAGAATAAAATACAGTTTAAGTTTACCCCAATTTAGGAAGATACGACCAGGGCAAAAGAGCTAGAGAAAAAACCCTGTTCGACTAGGAAGTAGCAAAGGATTGAACGATTAGGCATTGTTTCTTTAAAAATTTATTCAAATCAAAATATTTATTCAAATCAATGTGATGACGCGATGCTTGTTACTTTATCTAACACCAGGTTTAAAATAGGAAAAACGTTGTTAGTTAACAGGGCAGTGGACTGTTTAGTCTGTCAAACGTCAACGTTGCCCTGTGGATAACGAGATGAAGATGAAGGGTCGGGATAAAAGTTGCGATGCCGTCTAGAGAACCTAGGTGACCAGTTATCCCTCAGGGTGTGGAGCATTTTAGTATCTAGTGCGAAGTACGTACAAAAGTTTATATACAAAAGTGATCTTTTAGTTCCACCCTTACTTCCTAAGAAGTCCCAGAAGCCAACTAAATGGCTTGAGCGGGTTAGGGGTAGGAACGGACCGCGGGCTAGACTATAACACAATAGGACAAACACAAATACGCTAAAGAAAAGCATTTAAAGTTTAAAATTAACTGGCAATACTCCTTTTTGAGCAATGAATCACACCGATGTTTTAAAATGACCACAAAAATTGCATAATCGTGTTAGGGAAGGTCTAAACATTTTAGTTACAGAGACAGTGTACAAATGAATTAAGTTTTGAACAATAAAATAATGACATCGAAAGTTTTACATCAAACAATAACTTAAAAGCTAAGAACATTTTGTAAAAATAGCTAAAAGAAAAGTTGTTAATATCGAGTAAAATCCGCTAACCGTAGTAGTGCAAAATAACTAATGCTCAATTAACTTACACCTGAATCGTTTTACGTTTTTTGCAAAGCTTTTTTTCTTTAACACGATAATATAGAAATTCCAAATTTATTCAAAAATAAATTTGTAAACCGTATCAAAGTACGGAACCATTACAATACGTATACCGTAAAGAACCTGATGCGGAATATTTGCATTAAACTGCGACTTGGAGAAGACCATGGCTCTTTTTATTTAATTTAAATGCATGCATTTAATAACTTTTAAAACAGTTAATTACTATAAATTTTAATTAAATTAGATTAAACATTTTTAATCATTTGCCATAACTAATCAGACATACGTTACTTTGTTAAAGTAAAACCTTGTCATTTTAAGGATACCAATTTAAAAAATTTCCTATTGTCCTGTTTACAAACCGAAAATATTAAATTTATACCTTGTAAGTGCCAGAATAAAATTTTGTGTAATAGGTATACAGAAAAACTATTAGTCGTGTGTTGCTTTTAAATAAAAGTTCATTAAGTTCATTAAAGGTTGTCATGAAAGAGCAAAAAACGCTTTTAACTTTCTTGCCTTTACAATCTATTAAATAAAAACACTTAAAACAAATTGTTTTACGAAAATACGGCATTCTGTATATTGCCTTATTGGTTGTTACAACGTTGTTCCAGCATAGCATTTAATTAGAGAAATATAGATGTATTCTGGGTTGCCTATTGATTAATAAAATATTTCTTTACTCTCCTCTTAAATTAAAAAAATGTAAAAGTGTACTTGTTTTTATTTATATTTTTGATTTTTAGATATTTGGAGTATTGTATTTCTGGTAATATTACATTGGAAAACGTTCCATTTGTATGGCAGTCTATAAACCACCCCGTAGGAGTCAGAACAGGGTTCCAATTTCTTAGATTAAATTGGGAAAGAATATACAACACTTTTGAAGACGTTTTTCCTGTGTTTTCATCCATATTTCATGATTTTCTTTCACAGCTATCTACAGAAATAGATTTGGAAGATGTAATTATACTTATAATAATAATTAATATTATTATAATACAATCAAAATTTATTTATGTTTATTTTCAGCTTACAACATTCTACAAACTGCATCAACAAGATTTATCAACGGTTTCAACAATTTTGCAAGGAACTGTGGATCAAATTAAAGTAAGAATTAACTGGAAAACTAAGCATTTGGATTCAGTTATAGAATGGTTAAAATATCAAAAAATATAGTAGCTGTATTTTATGCAAAAACACTTTTAATAGAAAATATTTATTCTTAAGTTGTGATATAATGTTAGTCCTGTATATTAGTTTATATTTAGTTTTATGATGTTTTACCTTTAAACCTTTAAAATTGAGCAGAGGTATTACATCATAGCACTAATTATTCCATAAAATTAACACCACCATTATTATTTGTGTATTTTGTAGTATGTGTTAAATTAATACCTTTGCTCGTCTTTAAAAGCCGTTTAAAAATAAAGTTAATAGACATATAATAACAAATAAACACATGCTGTAAATATCTTCAATAGTCCATCATTTTTATTTATAATCTGGCACTATAATCTAAGACCTAATTACTTTATCGACGTGCACAGGTTTTTATATTGTAAAAACTATTGGTATATAATATTATTTATAAAATATATTTTTGTTATACAAAATATTGTTTAATTTAAATAAATATTTATAATTTTGATTATAATGTAGGAAAATAATGTTTGAGAAGTAAAGTGTTTTTTTTTAATTAAGAGCCATTTTTAAAATGAAAAAAATATCCCTCATTGTCAAATTTATTCAGTTCAGTTTTTATTTTCAATATATGGTGGCCATAATTAACGATAGGTTACTCAAGGATAGCTTTACCCAGGTAGCAAAACGTGACGAAACCGTGACGATTTGTGTCCAATTGGACACAACGGACACAAATCGTCACGGTTTCGTCACGTTGTGCTACCTGGCTAGGGCCTTAATCAGGGTTGCCAACTCTTGAGATGCACATTATAATATTTTCTCAATTTAATTATAGTATTTTTTAAAAAAATTATACCTAGTATATGTTTTTGAGAAGCAGGAGCCCACATTTTCCCCCCTTTTTTTAACAATATGTAATATGAACTTGACGAATAATGCCAGGAAAAAAGATTATGTTTTAGTAAAGGTAAATAGAGAACGCACTCAAGTTTAGAAAAGATTACTATTATTAAATTTAAGAGAACTTTTTCAATTGGATACGGAGAAGTACCTACCCACAGAAAAAATGCAGTTTTTCGAAATTTGCCGCGTTACAGCGATACATTGTGTGTTGTTAGGTGCAAGTGGCACCCATTCAGTTTGCGTTTGTGCTATACAGGAAAACGTAAAATTATTGATCGAAGGATCAAATATTAACAGCTAACTCTCCAAATCCAATGCGAACATATCATAATTTTTTAAAACGTATAGTTTGCGTTGTGCAATCAGATTTAATTAAAAAACTGGAAAACATATTTGAAGAAAATTTTATTTTATTTTTTTTTTTATTTAAAAAAGTACATCCTAAATATCACAGTAGCGATAATATCAGATAAGTATAAATATAATAAATAAATAAGTATGTATAATATTGGATTTATATGATAAATAATAAATAAGTAAATATATTAAGTAGATATTCTTTGGTGCAAAATAAAAGTCTTCAAGTTGGTTTTGAAAGTCGTCTCGGGTAGGTTTTTTATATTCTCTGGTAATTTGTTGTATAGTTTGTACCCTTGATGTTTTATTTTCATTTCTCCATATTTTGTTTTGGCTCTTTCTATGTCTATTTGTTCACGTCCTCTTGTATTATGTTCATGTGTCTCCGCTCTTTTTCTAAATGTTACTTCTTCATCCAGTATCTTATTTGTTATGATCTTGTGCACTAATTTATGGGTTTCTAGTTGTCTAAGCTCTTCGATATTTAGCTGTTTGGTGATCTTATAAAGTTGTTCAGTAGGCATGTATTTGTCCATTTTGTGCATAATCTTTAATATTTTATTTTGATTTCGCTGCAACGATTTTTTAGCGGTTTCGTTTGCTGTTGCCCAAAAAAGTATGAGGTATGCCAATTGACTCTTAATATAGGAATCATAGACTAAGATTCTTTGTTTAAGAGGAAGTGTGTTTGCTATTTTGTTCATTAGGTATATGTATGAAGAGAGAGATTCATTTAGTTTATGTATGTGTTGCTTCCAGTTTAGTTTATTGTCAATGTGTAGTCCCAGGTATTTGATTGTTTTAACTTCCTTTAGTGGCTCCTTGATTTTGATGTTAATTTGATGTTCTCTTGTTCTGGATTCAAAGTTTATAAAGTGACATTTTTTATGATTTAGGGTAAGTTGATTAGAATTGGTCCATTTTTTTAGTGTATTTAAGTCTTGTTTAATTTTACTTTCTGTGTCTTTGTTGTTTTCGTTCTTGTAAAAAATTGCCAAGTCATCTGCATACATAAGCATTTTACCATGTATTTTATATAGGCTAAGATCATTAATGTAAAGTAAGTACATGTAGGGTCCCAGAATTGACCCCTGAGGAACACCATATTTGATTTCCTCTATTGTGCTGCATTGGTCCCCTAGCACTGTAAACTGGCGTCGATTTGTTAGATATGATTGGAACATGTTTAGAGAATTTCCAGTTACTCCCATAATAATAATAATAATAATAATAATAATAATAATATTTATTGATCACACAGTTTTACAGCATTTTCTATAAAACATATTGGACTAGTCAACAAAAATAACATATAAAAACAAAATATAAATTACGTTTAGGCACTATAAATTATTAAATTAGGTACTATTAAATTAAAAGCTATCACTTAAAAACTCTTCCACAGAATAATATATTTTATCTAAAAACAAAGTCTGCAACTTGCATTTTAAAATTTTGGAACATTTACAACAAGACACAATAGACATAACTTTGTTATAACATTTAATTCCCATATAAATAAAAGACGTTTGACATACAGAGAGCCTAGAAAATGGCAAAACTAGATTATTTTGACTTCTTGTCGAATAACTGTGCATATTACTATGTGTTAAAATATCTTTTTTATTTTCAAAAATGTATAAAATCAAATTTAATGTGTACAAACAGGGAAGAGTTAAGATTCTGTATTTCCTAAACAGTGATTTACAGGAAAATGTTGGACTTTTGTTATCCATGCACCTAAGGATCTTTTTTTGCGTTATAAAAACTTTGCTAAAATGACTTAAGCTACCCCAAAATATAATACCATAAGCAAGATGTGCTTGAACTACCCCAAAGTACAAAAGTCTCAGTACAGAGAAGCTTACCGATTCTCTTAGTGACCTTATTAAGTAACAAGCTGAACTTATTTTTTTATTTAAGTTATTTATTTGTGTTTCCCATGTAAACTTTCGATCTAAGTAAATACCCAAAAACTTTATGCTTTCCACAGATTCAATCGATTTACCTAAAATTGAAATGAATAAATCGTAATCTGGAGAAACATTTTTTGGTAAAAATCGCATATAAAATGTTTTGTTTTTGTTAATGGTTAGTCCATTTTCTTTACACCATGAATTAAATAAATTACATTTTAAAGAGGCTTCACAGCAAAGGTTTGAAATATTATTATTTTGAATTATAAGATTTGTATCATCTGCATAGAGAATAAGTTGCTCATTTATATTGGTATTTAAATTTAAATCATTTACAAATATTAAAAATAAAAGTGGCCCCAATATCGATCCTTGAGGTACTCCTAGTGTTACCTTGGATATATCCGATTTTTCACCATTACAATATACTAATTGATTTCTATCTAATAAGTAAGATTCTACCCATTTATTTGCAACACCTCTAACACCTATACTTTCAAGTTTATTTAATAATAATCTGTGATTAATAGTATCAAATGCTCGACTAAGGTCATAGAACAGTCCAACAACATGCTGTTTTTCATTCAAACTTTTAAAAATAAAATTTAAGGCACTTTCAATTGCTGTGTTAGTGGACTTATTTCTCCTAAAGCCATTTTGAAATTCAAAAAGTAGTTTGTTAGATTCTAAGAAATGCTGTAAACGATTGTAATATAAAGTATCGATTATTTTACTAAACTGATTTTGAAGACTTATCGGTCTGTAATTTAGAGGATCAGATTTGCTTCCTTTGTTTTTATAAATTGGTACACATTTTGAACACTTAAGTGCAGAGGTATACTCACCATTTATAAATGATTCGTTAACCAAATACGCTAAAGGTTCTGCAATAAGTTCTTTTGCCATATTTAAAATTTTTCCATTGACGTCGTCAATGCCAGGTGTAAATTTTTTACTTGTTTTACTAATGGTACTTACAATTTCTTGTGAAGTAACCGGGTTTAGGTAAAATGATCTAAAAAAGTTGGAGGTGGTTGAATTATCCGTAAAATTTGGAGCATTATGGTTTTTAAAAATATTTAAAAAGGTATTATTGAATATGTTACTAATTTCCTTAGAATCACTTATTATTTTGTTATTATATTGTATTTCGGATATTTTTAAATTGTTTTTATTTTTAGTTTCGTTATTAATAATTTTCCAGCTTTCTTTATATTTTTCATTTTTGAAATTAATAAGTCAAGGTTCACTGTGTCAAATGCCTTTTTGTAATCTAGTACTAAACCAGTTACCGTTAGTTTGTTGTCAAGTTGTGTTAGAATGTAGTTCATTAAGTTGCTTATTGCTGTTGTTGTTCCTTTATGTGTTTGAAATCCGTGTTGGCTAGCTGTTAGAATATCTGTATTATGTATGTGTTCTGATAACCTTTTATGTAGTACTTTTTCAAAAATCTTGCTGAATACTGTTAGATTTGCAATTGGTCTATAATTTCCAGGTTCAGTTTTGTCTGCTGACTTGTATATCGGTGTGATTCTTGCTATTTTGAGTTCATCTGGAAACGTCCCTTTTTTCATTTGCGTATTTATTAGTTGGAGTAATACTGGGGCAATGACATGTTTAAGTTTTTTTATTAAGTTAGGTTTTATCTTGTCATGGCCAGACGAAGCATTTGATTTCAGGTTGTCTATTATTCCAATTATTTCTTTTAGGTGTGTGGGTCTTAGGTACATTGACATTTTTACATTGTATTTTAACTGTTCTTCCTTATTTTGCATTTTTCCTTTTATTTGCATTGCTAGGTTTGTCCCTACATTGGCATAGTAGTTATTTAATATATTGGCTATAGCCTTTGGTTCAGTTGTGGTAATGTTGTTGGTTTTTATTTTTTTGATTTTAGGTTTTGTCGTGGTTTCTTGATTTTTTAATCCTTTTATTATTCTCCATAGTTTCTTGGCATCTCCGTCTGCTGTATTTATTTGTTCCTTATAGTACATTAACTAAGCTTTTTTTATTGTTTTTTTACATTCATTTTTTAGTTCAAGAAAGTTTTGTTTAAAAGTTTCACTTCTAGGGTATTTTTTCATTTTTTTGTAGGCTTTATTTCGTGTTCTGATAGTATTGTAAACTGATAGAGTCATCCATCCTTCTTTGTTTGACAAGGTATATTTTTTTGTAAAAGTTTTTGTACATTTGGAGAGTTCACTTTTTATCAAGTCTTGTAAAATTTTAAAATTGTTAATATTAATTTCAGACATGGTTTGTTTTAGATTTATTTCCAGATGGTCATAGTTTATTTTTGTTATTTTGTATGTACGGTTTTTTGGTGGAGTTTGTTTTCCTGGATTGACTTTAAA